GGTGGGCAGACAACACAGGCAAGGGTGTGACTGGTGACATGCCGCAGTGTTACTGCAGGTAGCCATGGAGGAAAAGGAGGACTGCCCAACCTCCGTAAAGCAGCTCCTACGGACCATGACGGACATAACGCGAATCTGCTATGCGGGGGAGCAGGAGAGAAGCCCCAAGCAACTGCTACACCTGTCACTGGTGCTGTGGCGCCACTTTGGCCTGCTGAAAAAAGTAATCACAACGCCAAAAATGAACACCGAAACACTCTATGGAGGTTAGCTTCACGATTTGCTCCATGCTCCTTAGCAACTGGCCATCCTGAACCTGAGGGTATGTAACACGGAGGCACCGGAAAGGATGCAAGGGTAAGCTCGCCAATTTGCCCTTGCTGCCACAAGCAGAAGACGGCAAGATATCACCCGGAAGATAATGATCCACGGTCCAATTAACAGGCTCTCCTGCTGCAGTTGTTCTTTTTATTCCAGAACAGCTGCTGTGTTGAATGCATGACATGTTGGGGCATGTTTCCTTTTCCTACTTCTTTTTTGAAGTAGAATTCCGGGCTTGTGTCAATCGCTTCGACTCAAGCGACCGGCGTATGTGCTGTCGATTCATTGCAGCAAAGCTGGTTCTGTCTGACAGGAGAGTACTATAATTTCACAAACTTTCAGGGGGGGGGGGGGGGGGGGGACTGGGAATTTCCCGTTCCAAATTTGCCAGCTTTCTCGGTAAATTGAACGTAGAACGTAGAACGTGAACGTAGAGCAGAACAGGTGTCTTATACGTTACAGGAGCGCAACAAGAGATCAAGGGATTCTTCGCACCGCGGTCCCATAGCGTAGAGCAGAACACCACTGGTGACACGCTAGTTTTCTTGTATTCTTTTGCACAGGTTTGGAGAAGGGGCACTTTCGGATAGGTGCTACGGGTACTTTGCAATGGGAAGCAGGAATTCCACTGCTGCTTAGGGCGTGTTCAGACTACCGATAAAAAGTGACAGAATGGGAAAGTTTCCAAGGTGATTTGATCACGTGACGTTACTGGTACGCTACCGGCGGAAAAGTTTTACTGCTGCGGCAGTAGAACTTTTCCGGCAGTAAAAAGAGTTCTCAGGCTGGGAAAAAGGGAAAATCCCTTCTCAGTGCCGCGGTGAGAACTGCAAAACTTACGTACCGGTAACGTTAGTTTATCGGTAGTGTGAATGTCCTTCACGGTTTATAGCCTTTCACGGTTTGACGGGATTCACGGTAGTCTGAACGCGCCCTTCGCCCAACAGCCATTACTGTCCTCTATCTGACGTTTTTTTCCACCGGTCCGCAGGTTTCTCTAGCTCTCCAGTCGGAAGGTGTTGAGATACTCTCCTACGGACTTTGCACGCCATTGGCGCTGCATCAGTGCGGCTACAGTACTGCCAGGCGCCGAAGAACTGGGGGTCAGGGTTCTAGCCTAGCCTATTCTTATTTTTAGCGAACACAGCAGTTTCGTTCTTATTTGATGGTACAGTCGTACATGTACATTTACGCAGAGTTATACGTCTGAGTGTACATTATAGTGTACATTACGGTTTCTGTTCTTATCTGCAAAAAATCCAGCCTAGGCCGTTCTTAAAATTTGATGAAATTCTAGCCTGGCTGTTCGCTTCGGCGCTACCCGACAGTACTGTAGTCGCTGTCTTGACCTGGCAAGCTTTGCCTTCGCCATCTCACAGCCAAAGGACTGAGTGAAAGTGTGAATACCCGGTGCCGTTCAATCGGCACAAGTTTCTAGTTACTAGTGAAGTTGGTACATGTACATGTGCGCCCTGGTGTTAGTGACACCTAACCGCGTACCGCTTCTGCCATGGCGCTGCTAGATTGAACTCTCGCTCTCCCTGGCCGTGAGCTGTGCATGTGTGACTCACTACAACCTCAACACACCTTCTTTTTACAGATTTATTTTATTCTCTCATACCACAGAAGGGAATAACTTGCTAATACGCAAAACCCTACACTGTAATGCCCGACCCTACAGATAACCACAGATGGACATGCATCAGAACAATAGTACATGACACCCGGAGGGTGCAGCTTGGATGGGTTGCTGTCACGGCGAAATTCTGTGATTCCATCATTTTAGTGATGTGGTGCATACATGACGTGTACAAGCAGAATTCAAGCAGGTCTCTTTCTGCGCAACTGCAGCTCAGTGGTACGCACTACGCCACTTCCCGCCTCAGATCTGCACCAAATATGATGTAATGACGGAATTCCGCCGTGAAAAGCCCCAAGCTGCACACTCTGGGTTTCATGTACTCTTGATCAGAGTGATGTCACTTAGAGCCCTACACACAACCCTACACACAACCCTACAGACACTACATACATGTACATGTATCAGAGTGCTGTCACTTAGAGCCCTACAGACAACCCTACAGACAACCCTACATGTACATGTATCAGAGTGCTGTCACTTACAACAGGGCAGTTGCGCAATACCCGCACAGTGTACTGGGCAGTGAGGATGTTAGGCGGGTGCAGGTTGGAGAGGAAAGCCAGGACGGTGATAGCAGGCACGTCCGTCCAGCAGAGTACGTGCGTTAGCTGCGTGTGACGACACAACACACACACACACACACACACACACACACACACACACACACACACACATACACACACACATTCGGCACGAAGACACGACCATAGCATCACTCTTGCCCAACTCCAACATGACCCATACCATTAACGGGTAAGCAAGCAAGCTATACTGGATACGTATATGCACTTCAATGTCCACACACATGCTCATAGGTGTACATATACATGCACAGATTACTTTTTAAATGAACACATGCACATACCATGTACATAGTGCACATATCAGCAACTCCATCATGGAGCATGTACTGGTACATAATGCGAGCAACTGTGCACAGAAATCTTACCTCCACCACGTCTGACTGAAGTAAGCGCTCGCCAGTAAACAGCTGCAGATGCATACGCACATACGCACGCACGCACACGCATACACACACACACACACACACACACATACACACACGTGTCATGCAGATAAGTTGAACAAGTAGTGCTGTGCTTTGCTCGCAGGCAATGGTGCAATGTACAGACATGCAGTTCTCGTGCAACAGCTACTCTACACTACTTCGAAGTACATCAAGTAGCAGTGTGGGTCAGTGGGAAGTAGCAAGTAACAGTGTGGGTCAGTGGGAAGTAGTAGACTGCTACTGCACTTACCACTGGACCACACTGCTACTTGACACAGAGAACACGTCCGTACCACAAACAATGACTCGCCAGCTACCAACATTTGAGCTATCCTTAACTGCTCCTGCGACAGTCTAGGGAACACGACAGCACTATCTGTGTGCTGTGCTGCTCTGGACCAAACTGACCTGCAGTGCATCCTCCACTGACACCACGGGCAATGGATTGGACTGAACAAGACGAGGCACCTCACGGCGTATCGTCTCTATACTGCCAAGTCTACACGGCAACAGGGCAACAGGGCAACAGCAAACAAATCAGACAAAAAGATCAGAACTCTCAACTCAGAATGACTAGCACACCGCTGCTCAAAGAGTGGTCCAACTGAACTAACACCATCAAGTGCTTCATGAAATGTGAAAACCCCAGCATATTATTGTAGGAATGGACTCGGTCCTGGGTCCTTTTTCTTTTCTATATTATTGTAGGCAGAGACTAAGCACAGTAAGCAGGCATTCGAATTGTCGTGGTAGATTTTTTTCTTTTGATCAGATGGCGCTTGCTGAGTGTGACTGGTGCAGTGCTCGTGCTGGTGTCTGCGAGCGTCGTCTGGTCTCGTCTGGTCAAAAGAAAAATCTACCACTACTATTTGACGGACCTACTGAAGATGGCATCAACAAAATTATTCGAATTGTCACTGTTTAACTTTTGAAACACTGTACGTACCTGTTGACAAGCTCCACCGCCAAGTGAGGCGAAGAATCCCAGGCGAGTCGGCAGCAATCAACCCACACGTGAGCTGCGACGCTGTTGATGTTCCATGAATGAACCACCTCCTCATCTGAGTGCCCATACATACATCACACACACATAGCATCGAACACAGCAACAGGCACAGTACATACAAATTCTCATATCGTTGCCATACTGACTTGAAAAGAGCAAGACCACTTCCTATCCTAACAGGCTTCAGTATGGACGAATACACCTGTGCTCTGGAAAATATTCATATTAAGCAGAGTATGCATAATCAGAGTGTGTACTAAGTGAGTTTCACTCAGACTCAAAACAATAGACGGCCCTAGAAATCACATATTGGCCTTACTTTTGAATGCTAGCTCCGGAGAGCCAAGTGGATTGTGCCACGTGCTCAGACGCTCGATTTCTTCTTGCTGCATATAGCCAGAAGAGCACACACACAGAACAGTAGGGCATCATGACCAAGACTTGCAATGCAGTTTACACACAGACATGATCTTTCAAGTAATTTGTACGGTGAGAGGGAGTACTCAATGATGCATTGCCTACTTGCATTTTCTTGTCCAAACAAGTCATTTCAAATTCAATGCTGACTGTGGAAGCAGGCAAACGAAGGGCTGCGGTCATACGCAAAGAGAAAAAGTACGGAACACTGAGGACAACATCATCATGTCTGCCCAGTGCCCATTTCGTTTCAGCACAGCAGAATGATAGCCCCGTCATCCTGCGTATGTTCCTTTCCTGCACATGTCGTCGGGCAAGGAAGAGCTACTGTCATCTACCTCATCACTCAGTTACTTGCAGTAGACATACGGGTCTTAGCTAACGGAAAATGCATGCAGAGACTGCTCACTTTCCGCCAAGGAACGTTATTTATAACACTCCCTTGCTCGCTCAAACGTCTTGGATTTGCACAACAAGAACACCAATACCAAGTTACACAGTCCGGGAGCATGTTCTTCACATACAACAGCAGTACTCCCCATGGTCTTAACTCTTAAGTGACCCGGGATGCTGCATAATCCAGACACAAAACCAATAAAGCCGCCTCTATAATAATAACCAGTGCTTTAGTGCGGTGTAAACAGCAGCTGCTTGTACAACGAGAACATTGCATAGCATTGCATAGCATTGCATAGCACTGGGCCACACAGACTCCCCACAGCCAGGTACCAGACTATGAGTAGATAGCAAGGTGGTGGTGGGGGGTCAGCACAGCTACTACACAGTCTGAGTACTACAGTGCTGGCAACTGAAATCCGACCCCTGAGCGGTGCATTCACATTCTCGCGGTCTCTATTTCCTAGTTTTACTATCCCGTGTTGGGTCTTTGCGATGTGAGCGCACCGCTCAGGGGTTGGATTTCACTTGCCAGCACTGTTGTCTGTAGGTAGCAAGGTTAGGGTACAGCACAGCCATACAGTCTCCGTGCTAATATTAGGTAGCAAGGTTAGGGTGCAGCACAGCATAGCTACACAGTCTCACCAGGAGTGAGAGGACCAGTATGCGCTGCCTCTGGAAATGCTTCAGGATTGGTTGCCCATCGGACTTGAGGCTGATCGTGTCGGACACATCGGCCAGACCGGAGTTAGATGCTACTAAGCTACGCTGACGGGGTGCTACTGGCTTGACGTTCATCCAGCCTTGCTGTAAGTGAGAAACAACAACCACACACAACACACAAGAAGAACATGACGTCAGCAGAACTTCAGACTCCTGAGAACGAACATGTCCAGCGCCACTTGCATCTCCATGCAACACTAAATCCGAATCAGTGTGATCACCCCGCCCAAACACAAGAATCAGGCGCATAGCTCGTGTGTAGTCAGTGCAGTCCGGTCAGCACACCAGCAAATAGCAAATGGCCGCCATACGCACTATATAGTCAACATAGGCAAAATGCCACCTATGAGGTTGCCAGTGGTACATAGTCACCACACCACAGATGTGCAAGCTACACCCTGCAGAACGCACCAGCAAGCGCCAGGGCTTAATATCCACCATAGAACCCACAACACACACACACACATGCAAAAGATGAAATCTGGGTCAACATGAAAGAAAATTCAGACTGGGATGCATGTTTTTACTGGACAAATGCCCCGTTAACACCAAACTCTGATAAACAAAGGAAACCATTCCCTGCTCCCCAAACATTCAAGTTTTGAAGTACATGTAGCTCAAGCCTCTTTGAAAATGGACAACTTTTAACAGAAGAAGTGCTGTTTTGTCCAACACTAACTTTCGGCCCTCTCTTTCTTAATTTTAAGTGTTGCTTTGTCTGTTCTAAGTTGTTCACTAGCATGCATAAACCCCAGAAATGATATTTGTATGGGCGATACTTCTGCATTTGGTTGCACTTATGGGGCCTCGAAGTTCCGTGTTTTCGTACTTTCAAGTGGCCATATGTACAACAAGTATCCTCCACACGAATATTAATTCATGGCACAAGTCTTTTCACGGCCAAAGTGGTCCGAGCTACCTTCCGTGGATTCCACCCAAGTGATTTGTTCCAGTATATCTGCATGTGGCCTGAACTTCACTGCAAAACAAAGCAGCAGCATGTACTACTACTAGCAAGAGCAAGAGACTCAACTCATCAACACACCTGCCTGTCATCGTAATTCATTAGCGCCAAACCACTACTGGCCGATGGTGTATCGGATGAAGTCGGTTCGATCGGTGCTGCAGCAAGCCATACACAATACAAATCAGAGCACTTGTAACAACGATTCAAACACTCGGGTGGTGTTGAGCTGATGTTAATCAGAAAGGAGAAGGAACAATGGGATAGGAGTTACGGTGAGTGACACTCCACCAGTCTAATCAATTTTACCAAGGTGTCAGACCATTGAATGTCTCAGTACACCTCGTCAGTCTGGGCTTAATTGTTGTAATTTCTGACTGCACGTTAGGCCAAGTAAAAAAAATTGATTGTTTATCGTCCGCGCCCGCCCCGATTTTTCGCCCTCCCGGCCAAATAATTTTATTTTTTAGTTCCGGTAAATGTACGCTCGTACCGTATGTACTGCGATCTATGCCTATAATGGCCTCTAATCAGCATGGCTGTAGATCTTGGAAGGCGAAGTCCGCAGATTGAATCATACGTGTAGTTGCTAGGCTTGAAAAGTGAAAGAGATTATCAGCTGTCTGATTCTCTTCGTTGTCCTACTTTGGTTGATTCACTTTTCCCTATTTTCGTCCTCAAAATTATCTTGCAAGATGTTATTCATCTGCATCACATGGATTTATCTCACTCTGTGCAAAATGGCTTCAAAAGAAGAAAAGTAAAGAAAGAGGCATATCTAGGGGTTGCGAACACCTACCATACAGCCATACATGCATAATAAAAAATAAAATAAAATACCTCCCGTCCGCCCCGATTTCTCGGGAAAATCTGACGATAAACAATCAATATATTTTACATGGCCTATGCACATGTAGTTTGATTGAAGGAGTGTTACTCAAAACTTGTATCCCATTGTCCCTACTCAAAAAATGATGCTACTTTCAAGTGTTGACTGAGCAATGAGTGAGCCAGGTACACACGGGTGTGCACTAGCCAAGCAGCAGCCGCCAAAGCATACAACAGCAAACCTCACAATGGTTCCTCCCACGGAATGGTATCTAATGACGGGCTTCACAACGCTCCACCACTGTAAGTTCTCAAAGCCATCACCGTAACCTACCGTTAAGTCGTGTATAAAAGCCGTGGCTTATATGGCTTTTTGGGGGAAATTTTGCAGGCTTCTATACCAAGACAGGCATTTCTATGTATGTCAACACTAAACCAAGCTTATGTGCCGACAGTGTATCTTGAAAATCAGGCTTCTATTCAAAAAGACACTACGGTATCACAAGACATCACTGTGACTTATAAAGCTACATTCACGGACTGACGGAGTAACAGGGCAACAATCATCATGCTACAAAGTCACATGGTGATCATGAGGTCGTGAGTGGAATGAGATACTAGTAGACAGGACATACCTAGCACAGGATGATTCATGTCCTGAAGGAACTTGCGCTCATTGCTGAACAGCTGCCACACTCTGTTGTACAACATAACAGAAAATGCATCCGTGTATCAATGCACACACGCGCACGCGTACACGGACGCACATACACACACACACGCACACACAATGTACCACGCGCACGCACGCACGCACACGCATGCACACACATACACACACAGTGAAACTTCATTACACCATACATCTAACGGCGAACCTGGTCAATACAACAGGTTTCAGGAACAGCTACTGCTTGTTCCAGTCGATTATCACAGCCAGCAATATCGGGTGTGTCACACAAGCTCACCTGATTAGAACGGTGATGTCCTCACGCAACGTGGCTGCTGTCTGTGTGGGCCAGGTTGCAGCCATACTAGGGGTAAGCACAGGACACACGGACAGCTAATATCAACAACAAGAGGAGCAGTCAATCATTGGCAAACTCGCAGGTTACGGGTTAGGGCACAGGATACGCTTTTCGTTAATAAATAGTGTATACAAGACTAAGCCTAAGCAAGCCCAGGAGTAGCTGCACTGGCGTTGGTTACCGAATCCACAAACTCGCATGATTGATCGCGAGACACATGATTAATGGTCTGACTCTCAATGTTTAATGGTGAGTTCTCAAGACTAGGAGGATTCTCACGACATAATGCAATTTCATTAGTTTGGACTTCGCCGCCACCGCATAATGATGAGTCTACAGTAATCTAAACCATACTACTTGATCAAAGCCAAATCCATGTCACGGTGACGAACAACCCTTGGTTGAAAGGTCGGGCTGCCCTGTCCAAACAAACCACTCCGCACAACACAGCCAATCGTGCACATGCACTGCACATGCACTGCACATGCACATCATGCTAGAGCTGCTACCTGAAATAGTCGAGAGCAGTGGAATATAGCTTGACACGCAGCAAGTTGGAGCTGAGTGAGAGCTGCACTTTGGACGACTGCACCATTGATAACCCCAGCTGTAACAGTCTGAACGCAGAACACAAAGGCAAACACAAAGGCAAACACAAAGACAACACAAACACTTCAAGACTTGCAAGTAAACTCCAGTATCTTCAGGTTACAATGATCCCAGCAGCAATAAGCAGCATAGTACGAAAGGCAGGACAGAGAGAACTACAGGGAGGTCACGCAAACAGCAGCAAACAAATGACAAGACAGTACAATTTGCACGTGTATTTACCTGAATCTGGCTCCAGCAGCTGACACATGGCGAATCAACGGTAAAAAGGTCTTCTTCGGATTGCTGCGGGAGATATCCACACTCATCGACTGATGTAGAAGATTGAGCATGATGTCAATCTACAACAAAACACAACAAAAGCATATGATAACACACAGGCACAAGCGAGATGAAGAGCAAGCCTGAGACTCGTATTATCCAGACTCTGCCCTTGACTGATCCACTGGGCAACTCCAGAAGAGATACTACAAAACGTAGTTGCTGGGTTACCATGGATATGTGTGTAGTGCACCACTGGCTGTGGATATAGCAGAAACTGGCGTTCACTGCAGCTCCCGTTTTAGCATTACACTGAGAACGAACAGCAACACTGAAGAGCAGGGAGCGATGCTGAACCAGAGACGGTGACAATAATAACAAACAATATCGCTAACTTACCACATCAGTGCTGCGAGTCTTCATCACCTCAAAGTAGTCCACCAGAAACTGTGACAACCAAACAAAGAAAACGACGACTTTCTTGAACACAAGACACTTCCAACTGAAAAAACCCTTTTCTCCGAACAATCATGAGATCTACATCTACTTGGAGCTGGTGATCACAGAGAGACTCACCTTGATCCAGACATTGTGTGCACTGACATCCGGTGTGACCTGCTCACACTTCCTGAAGCTGAGAAAGGACACTGGCGGCTGCTCACCGCTCGTGAACAGACCGACGCGTTGATCGATGGTCAGTCGCCATGCCATGGCCATCACTCGTACAAGCTGAGCAAGATTGGAGAAAAACAACGTACAATAAAAAATATATTTAAAAAATTCACGGTTCGCGTGAGACTCGGCTGGAAGCCGAGTTTTCCGCATCCGTAGGAGCGCCGCCACCCTCTACAGTCCATTTCAAAACTATAGACGCGTAGGGTTTTTGAAATATTTCAAATTTGGCTGGAACTTTTTGAGAATAGTTTTCGGAATATTGCTCAGGTCCGCTCCACAATTACTCTCATATAGTTTCTAAACGATTGGATAACAGACGCTCAATTTGGAAAAATTTATGCACAAAGTGATCACAGATTTTATGTGGTATAGATGCTGGCATAACGGTTTTTGCCTAGGTATGTGTCTATAGTTTTGAAATGGACTGTAGGATCAAGGCGCAGGTGCAGCTCCTAAGCGGTGGGAGGTGAGTAGATCAGACCCACCACAAAATCTCTCTCTACCAATCCTTTGAAAATCACTGCCAATCCTGTGCAAATCCCTACCAATCCTGTGCAAATCCCAACCAATCCTGCGTAAATGCCTGCCAATAATGTGTGAATCACTGCTAATCGGTACTCACGGGAAGTTCAGCCTCTGGCCGTGATGCCATTATCCACCTCCAACATGAAATGGCAGTGGTCATAGATGCACCAGTGAAGAGACGGACAGGAGAATGGACTAGATGGTGCAAGAGACTGCGGTCGATACCTGCAGCAAACAAGTCAACCGCAGACATGTACATGAACGGATGCACCATTGCACACGCACATACGTACATATACACACACACGTATCCACGCACGCGCGGGCGCGCACACACACATGCATGCACACACGCGTGGGCACACACACACACACACGCATGCACGCACACGCATGCACGCACGGGCGCACACACACACACACCACTCAGGGGTCCACCACCAGTACTTGAGTAGAATGGGTATTGACACCTTCGGAAATGAAAGGGAACACGAACTCAAGAGACAAGAAGAAGAAAGGAAGTGCTTCGAAATGAGCCCAAGGTCTTGTTGGTTACTGCACAAAGAGAAATAGGAAACAAGTATTGGAATGGAGGGGTGGGGGTGGTGGTGGAATCAGCTAACTAATGATCAACACAGCTAGGCACCTACCAGTCACAAGAAAACCTGTCACAGTCAGTACAGGCACAACACAATGGTCCATGTCTTACCAGGTAAACTAATGAACTGAGCAGCAAGGCGGAACATAGCCGTTGTGTAGTCCTGTTCACCTGATCATGATGATGTGTGTGTGCAGGAACAACACAGGAACACAGGAACACAGTCAAACAAAGATACAGCCACAGTCAATGACAATGACCGTGACAACTAGATTGAAGCAAAAACAACAACATGCTGGACTTGAACCATTCAACATATTTTATGGACTCACACATGCATGCACACATGCATACACGCACACACATGTACACGCACGCATGCACACACACGCACACACACGCACACACACACACACACACACACACACACACACACACATGCACACACACACACATCAGAAAAACGAGACTGGCGACTTACTGCCAGTGCCTGCACGAAAGGCTTGTTCCGCTTCGACCAGCTTCTCCGTCAAGACACGCGTCAGAGAACGATCTACATGGGCAAGAAGCACAGACACACACACAAAGCACAGAAGATGAATGGAAAACAATTAGTGCTGAATCGGGTAGCATTTTCTTCGGGTATCGGGTTCGGGTAGTTTTCCACGGGTAGCACAGGTACCCGATCGGGTAGTATTTCCATGGCAACACCACAATGCACCCCTTTCCCTTACACACCGGGTAGATGTGCGGAGTATTACATGAATTTGCACCCGTGCACTGTACATGATGTCATCTGCGACCTCGGGTTTTCGGGTACTATTCTGTACCCGACTACCCGAGGTCCTCACGGGTAGCACGGGTACCAGACAACCGGTGCACACCCCTAAAAATAATCATGGAAGGCCCAGTCATGTCTTACCCCCTTCCCCGGTCATAACGTTAACACACTTACTACTGTTTTCTGCACATGTTGACTTCCACACAGCTCTCATTCCCGACACCTAGTGGTCAAAGACACAGCAGAAACAAAACAACAGAAACAATTTAGCCATTTTATAATAGACATCACAATAATGAAGCTTTTTTCCCGAAACAACACTTGATTGTTGGCAAAGTGAGACATGCTCTGCTCTGTCACCCGTCCAGTACATCAGTGAAGTTATGCATAATGGTATACAGTATGGTCAGTGGCCTCGGATACACTAACATACAGATTTTACGGCCCTTGGTGGTACATCATATTGAAGTTTCACAGTAATGGTTGCTGCTGTACAGCACTTCAAGGGGTAACAGACTAACAGAGCAAGGATGTGGCCTGTTTTGAATGTAATAGTGATGATGCCATTCATACAGCCTCATACAATCATGATGTGCTGGTGTAACCGATATATGCTCTTCCACTATCCACGTTCATACTAGTATGTACTTGCAAACTCTACATTCTTACCTCTCCTGTGTGTTTGCTAATGAGTGCCAGCAAACTGGGCGAGTACGATGCGTCCTGGGTGATGCAGTTAGGCAACTTCTCCAGGGCAGCGGGCTACACACACATACACACGCACAGACAGACAGACGTGCATGGTCCGGGGCAGGGATAAACGCACGCACGCATGCATGCACACACACACGCACGAACACACACAATAGAGTAAATAGAATTTGCGCACCTGATGTCTGCCCCTGCCCCCCCCCCCCCCTCCCTGGGTCCACTCCTGACAAGTGAGTTGGATTGTGTGGGCGAATTCCAAGCAGTGCCAACATAAGCAGAAGGGGAGATATGGGTATTAACCTGCGCGGCGCACTGCATTCATTACGTAGCGAAATGACAATCAAGCTGCCTGGATTTGAGCTTTCCACAGTTTAGGCGCACCACACGTAATACAGTAAGTTGAAAGGCAATGCCTGTGCGCCGCGCATTACGTACAAAACCAAGTCTACGAGAAACGCGCATTCGGAAGCAGTAAACCATGGCAGATGGCCCAGCTGATTCACCAGTGCGTGGCTACATAATGTGCACTGCACGCCCACCAGACTGCATGTGCATAGTTGCATCCTCTTGGGGTTATGTCCTCTTGATTTCATTGAGCACTACTGTATGTTCTGACAATGTCAAAGCACAGCACAGGTGACACATGCGCAAGTAACAATACGTACAGAGAGGCCATCGGCAAAAGAATTGGCTCCTGTGTTCGCCAGGAGAATCTCTGCAGCCAGCGCCACACCAACGTGTGTGACCAGGCCTAGCGTAGCGTGCTGGGGCAGTAGCATGTAATCCTGGTCCCAAAGAAAAATCAAACACACGCACGCACGCACACACACACACATGCGCAGGCGTGCACACACAGGCACAGACACACACACCCACACACAGTGCGACTCTGTTACTCATGCCATGGACGGTGTACACCCACCCATGCATGAACGTATCTCTTAATTTGCTAAATCCTAGATATAGGATTTTGGTCATATTTTTCAACTCAAAATGGGTGTGGCACGAGCATAGAGAAAAGTTTGTGACCAATTCTTCCTGGCTAGGTCTTAGTAGATATCGAGAGTTGAATAAGATAATTTTTTCAAACACTAACATCTCAGGCTCATCTCCTTGCCCAATATTACTAAGGCCTGTGCCCTATTTTTCGAATCCTATATATAGGATTTGAGATTTTATTGGACCTTGTTTTATCCTTAAAACTGGTAGTTTCATGACGGCATGTGCGATATGTCGTCATGAAACCACACCTGCAATGTTCTTCTGCACATTCACTGCTTCAGTCCTTTCCATGACAGCAGCTGAACAAATATGCTCAAATTTCCAATTTTTGCTGAAAATGGGTATTCATCAGAAATATTATCGCCCTATGAATCTAAAATGTGAACATTCATGCCTCAAACATATTTACAACTTCCATGAAAACCATTATGCCGTTATTACTGGTCGTGATGACCAATAACAACGGCATAAAAGGCACACATTTTCAAATCCTATATATAGGATTTTGGGCCAGCAAATTAAGAGATACAAACACCAGTACTCCATTCAATGTAGCAAACACAGAGTTGAGACCGAATGCTGAGCTGTGCTCTCTGTGATCGCAATCCTTTACCAAATTAATCATTAATCAACTCTTCCCTTGTCGGTGTGGAACGGAAACAGGATGGCTAGTTGTACACGGCATAACGAAAGGCACTCAATATGAAAGCAGGGACAAATTCACACAGACCAAGTAGGTGCATGCTTCACACCCTTACACTACATGTAGTAAGTCAACCATTACAACATAGTCATGTGCAGTGCAACAAAGCCCTGCTGAAGTCGTCTGGTGATTGGTCCTAGAGCCATGAGACTCAGAGTAACAGAACACAATTTCCGGCCATTGCAAACTCGTGTAGTCATGTACCTTATATTTCCACTTTTGCAGGGCTAACTAGTAAATTCAGGGGCGTAGCTGGTACCCCTTTTAGGGGGTGCATGGCCGCATAAATGCAGGATGGCTGGTGCATGTCATTCATGGTCATTATGTGCATGCTGAACCTAGGTCGAAATTTCAGGGGGGGGGGGGGGGGGGTGTGCACGTGTCCCATGCGGGCTACGCGTCTGCTAATACTGTAGTGCAATGCAAACATACATAGTAAGCAGCAGACAAGCAAAGAGTGGTCTGCTATCCGCTACATGTAGTTGCTAGCAGCAGCAGCAGCAGCAGGCTGACTCACCAGTAGCTGCAGTCTGGTCTCCTTGGGTGCATGCTTCATACTGGCAGCGAGGATCTCACCACAGCGCTCACTGAAGTCACGCACCGTTTGCTGCACACACATACAGAAAGCATACATGGATGAATCTGAAAACTGTGAAAAGTGAAGACAGAATTCAGTGAAGTCATGTAAACCATAATTATATGGATGAGTCTGAAAACTGTGAAAAGTGAAGACAGAATTCAGTGAAGTCATATAGCCATATCACATACTAAATACATGGTTTTTTTTCAAGTACCGGTACATGTACACACATCAATCAACCTGTGACAGGTTTAGCGGTCCATGGTCCCTGATTTATTGGAATTTCTGAGTCGACGCCCTCTCCTTTCGGCTTTCACAGTGTATGCTTTGCTCACAAAGTCAACAAAATCACTTGGACGGCTGTTCCTAGTCCTGCACTAGAGAATGAGTCCATGGCTATAGCGTTTTCGCCACACCGCGACTACTGAGAGTGAATTCATTGTGCGGCTTGACGCAAATGTGTTGTCAAGAAGCGAAGCGGAGCCTGCACTACACTTCAGCATTCACCACAGTCCTTTGCGGCACATGGAGGAAGACATCTGTTCACTGTAAGCCAGACGTTAACAGAGTGAGTGCTAGTGAGACGTGGACGTATTCCGTCATTAATGAAAATACCATTGCAAGGAACATGTCTTCAATTTCAGGGCGACTTTTTCCCGTGCAGCTCATCAGGTAAAGTCATAAACCTCATGTGCGACCAGCAGGATACTAGTAGTAACTATAAAAAATATCTACAAGTCACACATAGGATCACAAATCAGACCAGTCTTTGATGAGACTGGGGATAGCTGGGTACACACCGTACCTCTCTGGAGTCGGGCTCTTCGGGGATGATGATTTTATACACCGTTCCAGGAACATCCATCTATGCAACACACATGAGATAAACCAGGAGAAAATACGTTCTTACACAGGCAGTAGTGTGACAGCAGGATACGTCTGTGGCGCTCAAACCTACTGCTGGTACAGTTCCTACCCACACTCAACACCCAGGCACGAACACACTGGTAAATGAATGAGCACGGGTTAAAGCAAACATAGAATCAGCATAAAGAGAAGGCATACTCTCAATGAGACTCGGAAAGCTCTCAGTATACTATCCAATTCTTCAAAGGCACCAAGGCAAGGTGATCTTAGAGCTAGACAGTGGGGTGATCAGCACTGCACAAAGATTCTTTTCTGACACAAGACAACGACCGCCACCATGGCTTGACGCCAACTACTTACATTGAAGGAACGGCCGGCTGAAGTCTGCAGGAAACGCAGATGAAAGAGAAAGAGAATACAAAAAAACCAGATCGACTTCAGAAGAGAGCGCACAAGATGGTGGGAAATGCTCTAAAAATAGACCGGTCGTACGGTCAATCTAGACAGACCAACAACACTGGCATGAAAGCGGATCAACAATGGCATGAAAGCCTTGCTCAATCACACTGGTTGTTTGTGCACGCACGCCGCTCAACGTACCTCATCCTTCATCACGTCCGTCAGGGCAGCCAGCATGTCAAGCAGGGCGAAGATAATGCGCCGATTCCACAGCACATGCGGAAACCTAGAACACAAGTAAAATAACACAGAAAAAAGAGCATCACAATAGGACAGATGTACACTACACTGGCCAACATTTCATTTCCCGTTCTTATCGAGTAGGGACTAGGAGCTGATGACATATGCTGATGACTGATCACTTAAGTTTGATGATATGCATGTTGACTTGCCCGTACAAGTGGCTTTTTCCTTCATTATGCTGATGACATGTTATTATTATTATGCTGTTGTATGCTTACATACATGTACAACAGGTGCATGGCTTTTCCTTTTCGTCGACGCTCACAATACTGTAGAACGGCTAATTTTTAGCGGGTACAATTTTTAGCGTTTTCTGAATCTAGACCAATTTGCGATGAAATATTTTAGCGATCCGAGTTTCAGAGTTTAAAAGATGACTACATTGTACTGTGCATGCAAAATTTCGACTGACGCGGCAAAACTTTAGCGAAAACACTCTCCTTTCAATAAAAATTGCTAAACTATCACCGGCGCTTAATTAAATGAGCCGTTTTACGTATGTAGTTTGTTGAAAACAAAGCAACACTGCAAAACAAGACCATAGATCAGCAGTGCAAAGTTTTGGGCGCGGCAAAAACTCAGCTCTACATGTACATGACATCACAATGCCTATGGCAGGTGTGTATGTGCCAGCAGCTCTGCTGGATACCAGGGACACGCACACAAATACAAACTGGTGTTACCGCACAGAACATACCGCTCTGCCATGTTGGAAAAGAAACTGTCTGCCAAGCGAGCAACACGTTTACTGAGCTTGTTGTTGAACTGGACAAGCAGGTAGATGGCAACATCCTCTAGCTCTTTCTCGCTGGAGATGGACTTGACCTGCGGGGAACAAGCACACGCACACGCACACACACACACACACGCACACACGCACACACGCACACACCTCAGACCTCAGACATGCCCATCGTGGAAGCGATGATAGCGAACAGCTATGTTAGACATAGCAACTTGTGCTGGGATTACACCATTCAACAGCTTGCAAGGCTGATGAATTGACCGACACTATTTTTAGCCTGGTATCCACCACACAGCTGTTTGAAGTGACTTTTTCTGGCCAGTGAATCCCTATTTTTCATTCTTCCATTTTTTTCTACACACACACCACACCACATACTCCGGCATACACTGGCTGTTGGTAACCACCCAGGAGAATGAAAGCACGCACACACACACACACACACACACACACACACACACACACACACACACACACACACACACACACACACACACACACACACACACAAACACACACAAACACACACACATACACACACACACACACACACACACACACACACACATGCACAAACACCAATCATCCTCAACTCAAGCCTAGGTACACGAAGTGTGTCAGTAGGGCATCAGATGCGTGTGCAAGATAGAACTACATTACGATATACTAGTACCATGTCTCCTCTATTGCTGGGCCGGGTGGCCAATTGCCACTTTCTAAGCACTACAATCCATCTTCTCCTTCTACCTGCTACTTGTCTGAGAACCGGAACAAGCTCATTAAGGTGGGAATAATGATCGGCTGGATGGTCGACTATAATTACTATTATTATTTTGTTGATCGACTGCCTGATGGGCACTAGATTGGTCACCGGCCATGACATATGCTCGACAATAGGACTACTACACGTGTCATACCAAAGAGATACAGGTCTGAGACTGGCAGCCTGAATATATATTATGTACTGACAATACTGAACTGTAGATTGTGCAATGCACACAGACATAGACATTCTGTCCAACCCAACACAACACTTACCCGTGCCGCCATGATGTCCAAATACTGCTGGAAAATGCGCTCGGCAACAGCAGCAACACACGACTGCAGGCCATCCTTGTTGATCCGAATGCCGCGATCCTCTAGGTAAACAAACAGATCGACGATCAGCGACGGCTGCTCCTGAACCCTGTGTTCGACACACGTTCAAAGAAAACGCAACAAAGAGAAACACCATGAACACAGCATAAAACACCATTTACACGGAGACTAATTCGATTTAGGCTATTTAAAAGCCTGTGGAGAATCCATAAATACAAATACAAATACACGCAGCACGTCCTCAACCACTACTTAGTAGTCCAGTAGCTGTTGCTGCTTTCAGACAACATCATCTAGATTGCCGAAGACGTATCACCGAGATAGCACTGGCCTGCACAAGTAGCTCATTCAATACTAACATAGCCGTGGCCCAATCACCGCAGTTCTGGAATGGTGTGTGTGTGTGTGTGTGTGTGTGTGTGTGCGTGTGTACGTGCGTGCGTGTGTATGTGCGTGCGTACGTGCGTGCGTGTGTGCGTTTCCCTCAATGAATGCATGCATTTCTCCCATGAAAAAGGAATGCTGTACAGCAACCAGGATCACTGAAAACCTAATCACACACATACTACAGTCGCGGCAAACAGAAATCTCCCCCTCCCCCGTGAATACGGCGGTGGCAAAGTCAGTGCACAGCGCTGGGGCCACCAAGCCACTAGGATCGTTACCCAGTCAAGAGGTCAGAGTTGCTACGCCTGTAGTACACATCACCCCTGAAATGACGATCCAGCTGCCTGGATTTGAGTCTTCCTACGGTTTAGCCTCAAGGATTGCAAGTGCAATACGGCAAGTTCAACGGCAATGCCTGTGCGTGACGCATCCGAAGTCTCCGAGAAAAGCGGATTCGGAAGCAGAAAACTGTAGCAGATCAACAATGAAGCAATGGCCCGCGATTCGTGGCTACGTAATGCAGGCAGCGCTCCGTGCCAGACGGTGACCCCATATGCAGAGTTGTATACTCTTGGGGTTACGCACTTTTGTCAATGATACATTCTGGACTAGGAAGAGTTTAGTGTAACTCGGAGAACAGTGAAGTGAGGGGGGGGGGGGGGGGGGGGCTGACCTAAGCTGCTCCAGGTAATAGATGGAGAGGATGTAGACACAGAGCGTAGGGCCAAGCTTGTTTATGAACACGTCCAGCTCTGCACTGGAGCAGAGCTGCGTGCGCAGTGTAGCGCGCAGGTCATTCAGCTCCGCTACGGACACGTGCTCATCGCGCAGCACTGAGTTGTGCATCAGCTCCCGTTTCAGATAATCAAAGCCGAGCAGAAGATGCGGTGACTTTATAGCGATGTGCTGGATCGCCCGCGTCCACTCCTCAGGCCAGATTGCTATTGACAACAAGCACAAAAGTGACAGAACACACATACACACACACATACACACACATGTGTGCCCACATACACAGATAGTTGCATACGCACACATGCACAAAACACACATACACACACACACACACACATGTATGCCCAGATACAGAGATAGTTACATACGCACACATGCACAATACACACATACAAGTACACACACAGGTATGAGACTCACCCAACAGTAGTACACCCGAATAGCAGAGGTAGCACTGCTGATCGACAGCAGATTCGTGAACACACTAATGCGGAAACCTACAGCGTTGATGTGCGGAAAAAAGGTCTGAACTCTACAGAGATCAGGACAAGTAAGGTATAGACCTGCCGTAAGACCAGTTGCAAGTCATCACTGCTGGCCCCAGTGGACCCTCACTGGGCACAGCATGCCAGAGGCCTGTGCACTGTTCTCATGATGGAATAACAAACACCATATTTCAGAGGAACACAATTCCATGTAGGCGCTCAACGTCCGTAACTATCGATCTTTTACACTAAACGAAAATGTTTCGTTCATGGGTGGGTGGGTCGAGGAGAGTAAAGAGGGTTTTAACTAAACTTTTTCATTCCTTGAAAATTATCAATAATGCAGGATGGCTCCCTTACCCGAGTTAGCGGAGGCAAAGCCGTATGCCACAGCAAACTGCCAGAAGTCGAAGAAGCGTTTGCGAATCCGCGGAGCAGAGCTTGTAATGGCTGGTAATCCAAACAGTAGCTGTGCAATACATAGAATACACAGTTACTGTCAGTAGCAAGTACCAAGCATGCATCGAACCACGTAAGTACACGTCTTTGCCTCTGCAGCTCTAAGAGCATTGAATAGGCTGTAGCATCTCCACTGCTGCAGCCAACAACAGCAGCACCAGCACAACCAAGACGGTGTCCTGCAATCACTTCGCCGCCCGTTGGAAATCGTTTGCTGCACACTCGTGGCCATAGAAATCGGACCCACAAGTCAAAAGCAGCGCCGCGTTTCTATTTCAATCACATCATACACGGTCTAAGAAACCCATCCGAGGGCCACGTCAGTCTCGGCGCTGCTTTCGGCACGCAGGTCAGATTTCCACGATGTAGATAGGGCCCCATTTTGTGCGTGCATACAGTAAGTTTATGTGGGTAGCAAAGAAGGTGACAGGCTCACAACAATGGGTATTCTAACAAAATTGCACGGAAAAAGCCAGCACGGGCATGTTTTACCTTGGCGAGAATAGACAACAGGAAACCGAGATGAAAGGATTGCGACGATGCCTGCAGCAAATGACAGGAACAAACAAAAGCAATGAGGAAAGGAATAAATCATACTGTTGAGTACCAAGAAAGTAGCAACAGCTGCTGCCGGAATAATGCTCAAAGCGTTGGGCACAGAGTCTTTTACATGAAAGATAAAACCCCGCTCTCTAAAAATTACTCAGGAGTATCTGCTACTCAGAATTTGGCTATTGTTTCTGAAAAGATAGCACAGCCACATCCATAGTGTTGAGCGTCCATTTTCATTTGAAAGTACCCAGTAAGACACAAATGGGCACAAAGTCATAGTTAGGGGGTCTTCACTCGTTATCCCACTACTTTCACCTCACAGCAATATAAATTATACCGGTAAGTGACATGGCTATACAGTACTTGAAAGGCACATGCTGTACTAAGTGTGTAATGACTGTGTTGTCCGTGTGTGCGTGTGTGTGTGTGTGTGTGTGTGTGTGTGTGTGTGTGTGTGTGTGTGTGTGTGTGTGTGTGTGTGTGTGTGTGTGTGTGTGTGTGCATGCAACATGTGCTTGTCTGTGTGCTTGTGTGAGACAGAGCGTGTGAGGATAAGCGTAAGAATGTGAGTGAGGAGAGAGAGAGAGAGAGAGAGAGAGAGAGAGAGAGAGAGAGAGAGAGAGAGAGAGAGAGAGAGAGAGAGAGAGAGAGAGAGAGAGAGAGAGAGAGAGAGAGAGAGAGAGAGAGAGAGACAGCCAACACGTAATCACCTTGGTTGTAGCTGAGGCTTTCTCACTCTGCTTTTTTCCATCAAGTGCCTGCTGCACAAAGAGGTCGAGGACACGCTGTAACAACTGTTCCTTCTCAGCATCTGTCTTCAATTCCCCAGCCACATTCTCGAGTCCAGTGTATACACTCTGAGAGCAGTGTCTGTACAGAAACACACACACAAACAGTGAAAGTAGCATTCAAGTTTACGTCCAACACCTATTTTGCAGGAAATACGCTTTAAACAGAAAGCATAAATCCATGTACTTAAAACTCGGCCTGCCTGAATAAAACAGTGCCAGGTTCTGCGCAGCCCTACACTTGAACTTGAACTGAACTGGTAGAGCTGTAGGTACATGTACATGCATATTGACCATGAGCACGGGTTAGATTTGCTGCCCGTTATACTACAGTAATACTCAGTAAAAATGCAGAGTATGCATTAGCCTGCATGACCAATGTACAACAGTACACACTGCAGACGTGTAAGGCCCTACACCGGGGGGGGGGCATAAGAAGTCCATGGTACCCCCCCCCCCCATGTGGGGAGGCAAGAAAGGGCATTTTCAGCCTATTTCCGCCGGTGGTGGGGTAAAAGTAGGACGACAATAACAATTGGGATATGAAGAAGGGTACTAGCATAGTAGTAAGCCTGCGTTTGCTGATACAGTGTTGGGGAGTTGGAGGTCTTATCAACAAAAATTAAATCCTAAACCAAGAAAGTTGATGTGCAAGGAGTGTACCCATTTTGTGTATGCACCAAAGGCCGCACGTCAACTTTGCGCAAGCCCCATCACGGCGAACGGCTAGCTGACTGGGTTTTGACCATGTTGACGGTGGTTTAGAATACAGCAAGCATGCATCGCCTACTGAAATATCAGTACAGTCAGACCTCGCTTAACCGCACACATTCGTTTTCCGCAAAAATATACGGATAGGCGAGGGAACCGGATAATCGAACACACATACTTTAAGTATGCATGGCATATGCTGTAAATCGGTAACCAACAATTTTCTTCCGGATAGCGAGGGATCCGGATAAAAGAGGACCGATAGCGAGGGATCCGGATAAAAGAGGACCGGATAAGCGAGGTCTGACTGTACAGCAGTTTATTTTCAACATGACAACTCGTGGACTTACGTGTAGGTAATGGCACTGCTGTTCGGATCATACGTAGCTGAGATGGATGACTCGAGGACAAGACGATACACTTCCAGCACGCGGGACTGGTACTTTCCCTGTGCAAGAACACAACATCACACAAACATGATATCACACAAACATAACATCACACAAACAGGATTTGCTCTGACAGATTCCCTGGGGGGACCATCTGAGGACATGTAGTCATCAAATAAACCTTGCATCAGACAAAACAACAATGTATGAGTACTACATACAGTAATGTCGGGCGCCGAAGAACGGATCGACGAAGTATGGCCAGGCTAGAATTTCGCCAATTTTTAAGAACGGTGTAGGCTGGATTTTTTGAAGACAAGAACGCAAACCGTATTATACACTATAATGTCCACTCAGATGTATAACTTTTCACAGATGTACAGGTAAGACTGTACCATCGAATAAGAACGAAACTGCTGTGTTCGCTAAAAATAAGAACGGGCTAGGCTAGAACCCTGACCCCCCAGTTCTTCGGCGCCCGACAGTACTGTGGCCATCAGTATGTGCACTTACACATACACGTGCACGCACATGCATGCCCACAACCACCCACAACACATGCACACACACGCACACACGCATGCACACACACACGCACACACACACGTGCACACACGTACACACACATACACACATGTACACACATGCACACACACACACACATGTACACACACGTACACACACACACACACGAACTGTACAGGCGAACACACAAGCTCACTTACCCCGGCAACAACCATCAAGCCAGCCAATTCCTCCAGGATCATGTTATCCACCTTGGACGGGGGATGCGCTAGCCTCTGTTGAAATGCTGTGAAGACAAGATCTGATACGCCACTGGTCTGATGAAATATTCTAGCTTGCTGGCCAAGCAAGGCAACCAAATTGCGGCCAACTAGCTCAAACACTGGCCCCTGCGCGCGGTTCTCCAGTGTGTAAAGTTTAGTAGCCATTGCTGAAACAAACGCACCGGCCTTCTCTGGATTTGTACGGGCGCCGGCACGAATGCACCTGAACATAGGAGGAGGAGGGGAGAGAGAGGGAGAGAGAGGAGTCAAGTGCGTACCGAGGAAAGAGAAAATAACTTTCGCAAACCACTGCAACTTCGCGTCCAAGTTTTCGAAGTTTTGACCTTTGTTTCTGTACTCATTCCCAGACTCGAATTTTCTTTCGAACTTTCGCATTGCTAAACGTCCCTATTCTATCTGAACCTCTGACTGAACTGTAAACATGACCTAAAACTAAAAGAGTATGTCAAAGTAAAAGTGATATTGGATGTAAAGTGCTAGAGATTGAACTGAAAGCCTGAGAGATGAAAACTAGATAACACTGGCTGATCAAACAGGATTTGGGGCCCCGGGGACGAACATTTCTGAATGTTTTTGAAAACGTGTGTTACCTGACAATATTCTCCACTGCCAAGTTGCACAGTAGCTCCACCACCTGGGCCACTGCCGACATTGGCGAGTCGACAATCTTGCGCAGCTCGTTACGATGGTACGTCGCGCCATCCGTTGTGGTGGCACCGGCACTAAACTTGAACTTCTCAGTGGACATGGTGGACTGCGGGCCGCCTTTCTGGCACTTCTCGTTCAGGCGCACCAGCAGCGGGGACGGGTCGGTCAGGTAGTCACTGATTGTTTCTAAGCATATGCTGTGCACAGAAGGACAGAAGGAGAGTCAACAAACACACACCATGCCCGTCAGTAAACACAACACGGTGCAGGAGAAAAACACTCCTGCGGTGTATAGCAGACTAGCATGGTCGGTAGGGCAAGTCCTGCTATTGTGAATACATATACACTGTGAACTGCCTGCTACGAACAAGCACAACGTGAGCTGCACAATACAGCGCTTGTAAAGGTACTGAGTAATGTAGGTGAAAGATAGGTCACTGAGAGGATACCACAGCACAGACAGAACACAGAACTGGAGTGGTAAACATATGTTTATCTGGCATTCTCCTCAGAGAATTTGCATTACACAGACAAAGAGAGTGGGCATGTAGGAAAAAAAAGCAGCACAGTCCACAGGAAAGAGGTGCTCAGAATGTACAAATACGCACCCACTAACACACACACACGCACACGCACACACACACCACCACCACCACCACCACACACAGAACATGCACATTGTAGTGTAACACCAGCAGGATGTGCTGTGTTTACCTGGCCAGATGTGGAAAGGATTCGGCAATTGTACCCATTCCCTAATCACGACAATACATGCACATAACCAAATACAGACAAGCACGCAAAATTGAGATGAACATAATTTACATGCATATCGACACTTGTGAACATGCGTTGATCTTTACACCATACATTCTTGCCCTGTAGCAACGCATACAAATGTACATTACCCGCCCTGTCCCATCACAATCCAGCCACAGCTGCCAAGCGCGTAATCAACTGCCACGTCATTGCTGACCAATCACAGCCATAGGATATACCCCCCCCCCCCCCCCCCCAACCTGTTCATAAAAACCTTTGTTCTAAGCCATGTTGATGCATATACCTTTGTTGCTCGAACATTCATTCTTAGAAACCAAAGCCATAAGTTTGCCTTTCGAGTAGCACATATACCGGTACGTGTAGTTTGTACATGAATGATTGCCGATGCTGATTAATGTACATGTACTACTACACACGTGGTAGAGTTATGCACAGCCATAATCATGCTGATTCTCAGAGTTCTGCCCCTGGGCTATAGTCAAAGAAGTGCCATGTTGGCTTACGGAGAGAGCAGCAAAGCGCAATGCAAGGTGACTAAGCTCAAAACGAGCCGAGGCCTGTTCCGCCAACTGATTGGTGAGGATCTGCAGAATACTGTCAGCACCTGAACACACCACACGGGGGAAAGGGGACAAGAAGAGAAAGAAACAAACAAGATAGGAAGAGCGTTAACAAGACCTGTCAGCACACGGAGTACGGATGACTACGGTTACCATGGTTACAAAGAACGCCATCGCATCATTAGTACAAGGATTAGTTATACACAAACCAACAAGCAAGAGTTGGTTTTCAGGCAATACATTACTCAAAGACCAGGGAATTAGATTAGCAGCCATCATAACTAATTGCTAGTAATTAGGGGTGTCATCAGGTAGAAGGGTACCCGTGCTACCAAGAGTACATAACCCCCAAGAGTGTGCAACTGCCTGCACAACCTCTATGCTGTGCTGCGACGGCAGAACTTCACATCACGTGACATAGTTCAAAAGGTTACGCTGGCAAACAGTGCAAAGTGCCTTAAAGCTGGGTTGCGTACAACCCTGTACCTATCATGCACAGAGTGCAAAAAATGTGTACGGGTTCATCACGTGATGTGAAGTTCTGCCGTCGCAGACCCCATAGCTGGAGTTGCACACTCTTGGAGGTTATGTACTCTTGGTGCTACCCTTACGCGTAATTAGAGCGGGTATTCGGGTAGCATTTGCTCCTATGAACCCGATCTAGTAGTTGGAGTACGGTGTTTTCGCAACGATGCATATATAAAAGCACTGCTACATGCTTACTGTACACTTTCTATGTAGAGCAAGTGCACACCCACTGTACAAACTATGTCAAAAAATACCCGATAGGGTACCCATGCTGCCCGGAAAGAAGTACTCGAACTCGTTACCCGACCAAACCCCTACCCGTTGCAGCCCTCCTAGTAATGCTGTACGCGCGCGCTAAGGCAGAGACGGCGCAGTGCACGCACAGTGGCTTGAATGATGGCGTCTCACTGTCCCACAGCATGGATGAGAAGCTTTGCTCAAGAGGCAGACGTCATGTGCCCACCACCATTGACCAACTTTGAGTTTGCACATGCTTACTAGACCAGCGTGTACCATGTCGTGTGAGATTTGCTCTTGCAGGTCTGCTAGGGCCTAGGGCCACAACTGGCATGCGCGTCTCTGTCACCAACTGTCCCGCTCTTTTCGAGCTCTCATCCTTTCCTGTTTATTTCCTTATTTTGTTGACTCACATTTCTGAAAGCAGAGTAGGGTAGGGCAGTTGAACTTGGTAGTGGTGGTAGTGGTGATGTGTGTGTGCGTGTGTGTGTGTGTGCGCGCGCGCTTGCACGCGCGTGCGTGCATGCGTGTTGGCCAATGAAAGCTGACTTGATGAGTAATTATTCTTTGCATCACATAGTCATTAGCACGGCTAATAAATGGTGTTTTCATGGGGCCTTTAGTTAGCTGATCATCATGCTACGTCATCATAACCCTGTACCTACATGTACAACCATTTTCTCAGAAATCATTTTAGCAGGTACAAAATTATGACAGATTTACATGAATTAAATTCATATCAAACAATTATTTCAACACAGCAACACAGCCTCCCTCTCTCGATCCACTGTGTGCAAAGCTCTGCATCAAATTCATATCATTGAACAAAACCAAAAATCAGCGGTCACGTGCGATTCATTTTCAACCTTATCACGAGGTCTCAGGGGGACCACATCACAGAAGGCCACGCTACCCAAAGACCACGCTATAAACGGTTACTCTATAGAACATGTCAGTTTAGGTGTATTAAAATTTCAGTTTTAGGTGTAATGTAGAATTAGGAGACCGGCATTCCCTTCACATACAGTGCATACTCCAGTGCCTTTTAGGCAGAATCTAAATTTATCTGCCTTGTTTTCTCTACCGACATTAAAGCTACACCGAAAATGACGTGTTATACTGTGGTAGATAGATGGGCAGAGCAGAGAGGGAGGCTCGTCGCTTACAACACACAACTGCTGTAGCACTGCAGAGCACAATGTACCTTTCCACGGTTCTGGGAGGGGTTCAGAACAGAACGAACCTGTTTCTGACGTGCAGCTCCACACGAGCAAGTCGAGTGCCGACGCCATGGCATCGATGCGCGACGAGTAGGCCGCCGTGCCCGGCTGCAAGCGCTGCTTCAGCGACGCCTGGTTGGCAGAGGTGAGGTCGGGCTCGCTGGTGCGGCGCGGCATGAACACACGACTCTGGCCCACCGAGAGCATAGTCTGTGCCTTCTCCTGCACCAGGCCGGCAAACTCACGCACCGAGAAGGCTGCAATGGGAAACACCACGAACATAAGGGAAAGATAAATACGCAACAGAAAAGAAGAAGAAGAGCTAAAACTGACTACTGAGCTCACAGCAAAACCAAACCCAACCCCAGAAAAGTAATATGGAGACTGCTGTACTAGGATGCACATGAGGGTTCAGCATGCTCACGGCTTCATCATACGTAATGATAAGCAGCTCAAAGCCCACTCCAATACATTATACCGCCACTGCAATGATTCCTAGAACCCCTGTGCCAAAGTGGCACAGCTAGGAGTAAGAAAACGGGGCTGACCTCGATGAGGTGCCAGAACATCTCTGGCTAGCGAGAGGATGTGGAATATGAGCTCGTCGCTAAACGTCGTGTGAGGGAACGTCGGGGCAACCTAGACAAAAGGGAACAACGCGAGCGCACGTGGTTACAAGCACGCACGCACGCATGTGCACACACACACGCACATAGACAGACGGATGCACACACACACACACACACACACACACACACACACACACACACACACACACACACACACACACACACACACACACACACACACACACACACACACACACACATGTACACACACACACACACACACATGTACACACACACACACACACACACACACACACACACACACACACACAAACACACACACACACAATCCACAACCCCATGGAATCAAGCACAGTATATCCATCAACCAACAGAGCACACTACAAAATAGATAGACGGTAGCAAAGTAGAGCAGAAAGAAAAGAAACTACAGCAAGAAAGAGTGCATGGATGAGTCAGTGGTCAACAGCAGTCAGGCATAAGCTAATTTGCAATACCCTAAGCACTTGGTTTGCTCCACCATTCAATGTGTACAATACATGATGAGTGGGACTATGTGCTTGGCTATACGAATAAGTGCAATCTTGTTTCGTGTCGACATTGGTCATCACGCTGGGTGATATATTGCTCCATAGCTGTCCTACACAACAGTTGAAGGAGACCAACCAGTGCAGGATCATCTCAGACACAAATGTTACAGCCAGTATACATATCCAGCCCTTACTGTGCGATAATCTTCCAAGGACGCGTCCAACTTATCACATATTGCTTGGTCTGCAGTGGACAGAATCTGCAGTGTGCACGCATACACAGGTGAGCAAGGGGGATAGGGGGGGGGGGGAGAGAGAGAGAGAGAGAGAGAGAGAGAGAGAGAGAGAGAGAGAGAGAGAGAGAGAGAGAGAGAAGAGAGAGAGAGAGAGAGAGAGAGAGAGAGAGAGAGAGAGAGAGAGAGAGAGAGAGAGAGAGAGAGAGAGAGAAAGAGAGGAGGAGGGGGAGAGGGAGAGAGGGAGAGAGAGAGAGAGAAAGAGAGGAGGAGGGGGAGAGGGAGAGAGGGAGAGAGAGAGAGAGAGAGAGAGAGAGAGAGAGAGAGAGAGAGAGAGAGAGAGAGAGAGAGAGAGAGAGAGAGAGAGAGAGAGAGAGAGAGGGGAGAGAGGGAGAGAGGGAGAGAGAGAGAGAGAGAGCAAAAACACACAGCCAAGAGTCGTTTGTCTCAGTGCGCTGTAACCGAGTCACAAACGCGCGCGCGCACACACGCACACACACAGACACACACACACACACATATGCAGGCACAGACACAGACACGCACGCACAAACAACTACTGATGTGTATGAATCGACGGGACCATAAGTACTTACGGTCTTGACAATGACTTGCACGTGTTGTATGCTCCAGATGGAATCCAGCTGCAAAGCCTGAGATGCTGCAAGAAGTGGCTCGGTTTTCTCATCAAACGCTGTCGTCGACTTGCTCTTGCGTCGGTTGCGCAATACCGCCGCAGCCGCCGCTTCCGAGTCCACGCTGCCGTCTTTCAACGGATGGCCGTGTATGCTCTTTAGCATGGTGCTGCGCCGGTTGTTCGCAATGTCATTGGCCTTGGTGCTGACGGGGAAGTCAGTCGCGAACAGCGAGTTGCACGTCTCCACGCGTTCCGGCAGCGTGCCGCTCAGCGCCCGCAGCACTCCAAAGAGAGACGGCAACGCGGCAAAACACAGCTTGCCTGTGGACAGGAAAAAAGGGAGAGAAAAATCATCAACGGTACTAAAGCATCACGTGGCACCAGAGTGGACTTAACATGTAAGATTGACAAGAAATACATGCCCGTGTGAAGGTAGAGAGCACATCAATCACGTGCTCAGGGAAAGGCGGCGATAAAATGAATAATACAATCGTGTTGCTACATGTACGCACATGCAGGGCATGATCTGACATTTTATATACAATATCAATGGCCAAGGCCTAATACAGATGATTGCGTCATCGGCTTTCTCTAGTTTCTTTGAGGATTCGGAGGCTCCGTAGCAGGCCATTCATCATTCAAAGTTGTTTTGCATCATCATTGACCAACTGTTGCCGTTGGTGCTGGAGTTCGAGTAGTGGAGAGAGAGTTAGGAAGTGGTGAAGCATGATGGATGCAACAGGGAATGAGCTCGTCAAGCACACCAATTTGGACAAATGTCAAAAGCAAATGCTTGAAGTACATGTACATTCAACACTCACACATGTTCTCACACATGTTCTCACACATGTTCGCCATACTTACTTTGCTTTTTCTCGTTGGTGGCTTCGCAGTTGGCTTGTATGTATTCGGTCAGCTTCCTAAGCCAGTCTAACAGAGCATCACACACCTATACCGGGCAACAAGGAATACATGGACACGCCAAGAGAGGAGACAAGGATCACAATGCATAGCACGCCCGATCACACCACCTCACATGTACATCACTAGTGCATGCCTGTAGGATTTGGGATGTGTCTACATGTATGTGCATGAGAATCATCACTTTACTCCTTTTTTCTGTGTTTGTTCTCGCTCATCTACCTACAACTGCTTACATCACCTGAATACAGCACCCCCACGTGCAGAGCGTGCAGACAGAGCCTCTGAACAATATCACAGCCATGTGGAACAGGCATGGAACATCGTGTCAGCTCAATTCCACCCACAAGTTAGCAATCATCGCTAATAGAACTAGGCTGAAGTATGTGGTCATTCAGAGCTTCATGGCTATCCACCAATCTTCTACTCAATTCCATGTATCTTAGAACTGAGCAACACATACTGCGACCATTGCAACATGCATGGAGAGCGGGGAAACACGGCCCAAGCCATGACATGCTGCCAGGACACTCACACTCTTCTTCCAGTCATCCTGGTGTCGAGCTACTTCGGTCATTAGCAGGCACAGGTTGAAAGACAGGTCCTCGGCGAGAAGACCATCTGCAAAACCAAACGTAGACCGGGGAGAAAATTGAGCAACTGTGTACACGGCTCACTGTGTGGGTTACAACAAAACTGCAAAGTAGAATATTGGGTCTTTGCAATACAAATTGACAGGTGAAGAGCTTACGAACGAGAAGTGTTTCATTTCACACGCACAGTGCACTAACCCACAGACCTTCTCAGAATTACCAACACTCTAATTACTGCTGCTGCTGTTGCTTACCATTAGGAAGAAGAGCTTCCCCATCCATCCACAGGACCTGATCAATGTCTTGCAATGCACCCACCAAGTCTAGCAGGTATGGGATCAGAGTGCTTTGATGCTGTACAAGACACAGACAACAATGAATCATCAACAGTACTCGCAAGAAGGTGGCACCAAACGTTCTAGAGTTTCTTGCCAGCACAGCAGCCTTCACAAGACGTGGCTCTCTCTCTCTTATCATGCACAAACATGCGTACTGTTACACATACTGTTACACATACGCATCTCCACACACACACACACACACACACACACACACACACACACACACACACACACACACACACACACACGCACGTGCACTCACGCCCGCCCGCGCACGCACGCACACACTCACACACACACACACACACACACACACCAGTCGCTAGCCCCCAAATCTTCAAGCTACGGGTGGGCTTGAAAACACAATGTCATGTACATGTATGACCCCCCCCCCCCCCCCCCCCCTGCTTACAGCCTTGCCACGTGACAGTCAAGGACCAGGTGCAGGAAAGGGATTGCCGCCATAAAGGTGCCTTGTCGGGATCCAGCTGCATGTACCCCTGTGCCCAGTGAGGACCACACTTCGTACTAGTGGTTGAAAAATCAGAGTGGATCTGACACCCCTCCCCCAAGCACACACACACACACACACACACACACACACACACACGCGCAAGCGTGCGCACACACGCAAAGAGGTACTAACATGATAGTCTGACTTGAATATGTAGGAGCCTAGGGCCGTCACAGCATTCACATTGCGACGGTTGATGGACAGGCGAAAACCAGCCGCAGGTATTGCTGGGCACATTTCAAACAGCTTTTCAACCTAAACATACACAGGAGATGCAAAGCCAAACAGGGCAACACCGTTTAGCTGATGTAGGCTGTGCAGAGCACTACTAGTTGAAAAGCCAGACCCATGTACTGGACTCGCTCGATTAGAGCCCCGTCTGCAATAGTGCTCCTGTCTCGGAGAGCCAATGAAACATAAAGGCCTCTATTGAAAAAATTCTTTTGAGCTAGCAGCACGAGCGCAAAAACACCCCGAATGTACAACTCCGCCAGGGGCCAGGCGGCTTTATCAATAATTTCCGTAAATGATCAATAATAATTATGGACGGTCCCTTGGGTAGTGTTTCATCAAATTCCCGAGCTACAAGTACAATCTACATCATCCAGCCAGCATTACCATGGTTACACATTACCACTGGCCTGACTCTGACCGGTGTATGTCTTCAACTACGAAAAAAAGTACTCGTGGCTAGCCCAGTGAGAAAGGTACACTTCTATACAATCTGCAGCCACCGGGTACGCACTGACAGGAAAACAAGGGCCCACATACACATGTACAGTGTGTTCTGGCCAGAGAAATCCAACCTCATGAATACAGTAGCGCCGCGTTCAAGTACACAGAACAGTGTTTGCAGTGCTGGGGCTGTGTAGCGCCCGGCGCTATTTTATTCATGAGGTTGGATTTCTCTGCCCAGTACCTTAGATCGGGATTTTCATGCACAGGCTGACAGCGAGCATGGACCAGAGTTACCCACTGGGCTGTCCCTCCAGGAAATCGCGATTCCAGGGATGCAACAAAGTTCGCGATTTTCAGCAAAATCCGCGGTTTCCCGCGTTTTTGTTGTTTTCTGTACTATACCTCACTTTTTTATGCACTTTTCACACAGTGCTTTCCATGATCCTGTAGGTTATTTGCACAGTACGACTCGGACTAATCCCGAGTAGATATACGACGCAACAAATTTCGTGATTTGGCCCAAATCCGCAATTTTCTGTAAATGAATTCCTGGCAAGTTCTGTTTTTTTGTTGTTTTCTGCCGCAATTTCTTGCGCAAGTTTTCGAGAGTTTTTCCGCAAATTCCCGCAGGGACAGACTGGGTCATGTACCTCTACTAGCACCCCCCCCCCCCCCCCCACACACACACACACGACTACCAAGAAGAAAAGAAAGCTCTGTGAGCAAGCAGTACATGTGACAGGGTCGGGCAAACGGAACACAAGACGTGGCAGATGGCGACGGGGACCGCAGACGACGGGCAGGCAACGCAGCGAATGCCTCAAGGACTGCCACGGTCTAACTTTCCAGCTGCCAGGCCCTGTCACGTGACTAAGACCAGTACACTTATACACCAGCCTCTCAATATTCCTTTTTGTATGCATGTATATGCCGAAGTAAGTCACTAGTAGCACATCTCACAGCACTGGCTGTTGATTGCTTTCCGCACTATTTCTAGCGCTGTGCATGCCATGTCCCAGCAATGTGTGCTTGTATTATCACCTGTGTTAGAACTGCTATCACCTTCAGCACCTCAGCTCCCTACAACAGGGTATGCCAAACTTCTCTGGAGAAAGTGTACAATACTGTTTTATAGTTTTGCCCTATAAAACATCATTCATTCACCTCATAGCAGTCATTATCTACTACTAGGAAGCATGTTTTTATTGACCGCATAAAATGATGATGCAAAGAAAGAAAAGCACTCAAGCATTGCACCCGGGAGGCAAAAACGAACTCAATCCCTAGCATAGGCTCAATGACTACAACTACCTCCACTGATGAGCTCTGCTGGAGAGAAACAGCTGTCTGGAGGGTCCGCAATATCAAAATCTCAACTGAATTGTTAAATTGTCCTCGCTATGGTGGCGATGCGGAAGTGGAATGGGTAAGACGAGAACACATTCTAAAGTGGTGGAGTGACTGATTTCACAAGATCTGAAGTGCCTTTTTGGACCCTGCATACTTTCGTGTACTTGGACCTCAGATAATATAGAGCACAGTGCACATGTACTGACTTTCATGTGTCTTGCAGGTACGTTATACAGAAGTACTGCAAATCTGGAGACCTACACAAATCCTTTGAGGGTATAACACTGCAGTGCATATACACCGAAAACTACATTGTATTTCTTCACTGAGACCTGATAATATGGTTTCTCAAAACAAAATCAGCTTCGCTGAAGCATTTCAAGAGGTGAAGTTGTGACTCGAGGGGCGAGTGTCGTGATTGTAACTGCAAGTTCCACCCACTTCTACTTTCACAGTTTTACAGTATGTCATAGTGGACAAGCGCGAAGTAATACCTTTCTCCAAGGGCATGATGGAATACTAGCATAGGACTGGGCCAGCTGCTTGACAGTATCAGCAAAGAAAGATGCCCTGTGGTCCATTGCAAGGCGACTTGAGCCCTTCGAAGGTGTCTCACTAAGATGCTGCATTTTTCGACTTTCCAGTCTGACCGGAATTGGATTCAATATCGCAGACGAGACGAGACCAATTCGGCAGAATCCAATCAGCTAATACTTCGATGCCTCACATTTCTCACTGCTGCAATAAGCTCTTCAGATCTGCCTTTGTCGACAATTCTTCAAATAAAGCGAAACAAACCAGACTGAAATGAAAGGACGACTGAATGTTTTGAAAAGAAGTAAGTAAAATTAATGTATCTTCAAAATCAAAATGCAGCTGCTGAACTCGTGAAGTCATCGGTACGCGGTACGCGCGACGCATGCCGCCAGCAGTGTTACGTCACCATGGTCACGGGTACGGGCATGCGAGTCTCAGACTCAGGTCTGCAGACTTCTCAGTTCTCACCAGTCACGCGCGCGCGTGCACGACACGACACATAGCCGCTGGAACAGAAAAGTTTCAAAAAAGTCATAGCATGCACTAGCTCGCGCTGCGCGTGCGGCGTACCGCCGCGCCGTGTGCATAGCGCATATCGTCGACGCGACTCTGCGCCGCATATCGCGCATCGTGTGACCAAGCCCAAGCCAAGGCTCCTCGCCTCGCTCAGCTCAGATCAGTCAGAGCTCATGCACGTCGATGTAGTGCAAGTGACTATTTTGAACAAAAATTAAAATAATCTGAAATTAGTTGAGGAACGTGTTCGCTATTACTTGCTTCTTGGGATGTCCGACTTGCTCCCCCCTAGCCCTACTAGGCCCTGTTCCCGCGTAGCTGTGAACACCATACCATAACTTATGCCATAGGCATAATCCTAAATACTACTACTACTACACTACTGTACGCAGTTTGGACCCTCTGAAAATTAATAATTCATTCTATCTTCTAGTTCTACTTCTTCTAGTGTGGCGAAGATCAGCTCTGGACTAGCAGCAAGTGCAGCCAGTGGATTACTTCTTTACGATCGGCTATGTCCTTTTGGCGCTATCCAACTCGACTGCTGGAAGCAGCTCAAGACAATGAGGCGGAACACATCGACAAACACAAGCGCATCGTTGTGGAGCACTACCTGTTGAAAGGCTTGGAGGTGGGGTCAGGCGCAGCACTAGTAACACTGCCACCCTACTACTACTTCCGACGACGCTTCCACCTCTTCCACATCTGTAGTCGAACCAACACTATCGGAGGGCTCCTAACGGTACGTGTAATGGATACCACATGGACATGCACGAACATTGAGTCCACCATGGTGCTGCGTATGAATGACATTATGTGCATGTCACATACATGTACATGTACACGTGCACATATATACACACGCACACACACACACACACACACACACACACACAAACACACACACACACAAACACACAGACACACACAAACACATACACACAAACACACACACACACATACACACACACACATACACACACACACACACACACACACAAACACACACAAACACCACACATACGCGCACACACCATGTACGCATACAGTACTGTCGGGGGGTCAGGGTTCTAGCCTAGCCCGTTCTTATTTTTAGCGAACACCGCAGTTTCGTTCTTATTCGATGGCACAGTCTTACATATACATTTATGCAGAGTTATACGTCCGAGTGTACATTTTAATGTACGGTTTCCGTTCTTATCTGCGAAATTTCAGCCTACACCGTTCTTAAAAATTGGCGTAATTCTAGCCTGGCCGTTCTTCGGCGCCCGCCAGTACTGTATGCCCTTTGTGGGAGAAGAACGCAAATCTGCAAAATGCACAGGTTGGATCTTGTTGAATCTTGTGAGCGGAGCTAAGCATCAAAATCAGAATGCCCTACCTGCGATAAACACAGCGAGCACTGCACGGGGATTATGTACTTGGGCCAGATAACTGCCCAATCCACAAATCCGGCGGAAACATATAAATTGGCCGTGTGTGGGGGGGGGGGGGCGTGTGTGTGTTTGTGTGTGTGTACATGTGTGTGTGTGTGTGTACGTGTGTGCTTGTGTGTACGTGTGTGCTTGTGTATGCGTGTGTGTTTGTGCACGCGCGTGTGTGCGTGTTCATGCACGCCCGTGTGTGTCTTAACTTGTTTGTACGTACACCTGTGCTCTGTTCGCTTGTAGATTGCTGGTGGCGTTGCAGCGACGGTGCTGGGCTTGGCGCGAACACGAGGCATGTCACAGGATGAGCTGTATGACCAAGCGCATCGCCTCAATCACAGCCGGACGCATAATTTCATCGACATAATGGCAGGAACCGGCGCGATCTTCTGTGGCTTCACCACCCTGTCTGTTGGATATCCGTTTGGGTACAAGCCTCACTTTGGTGTTACCGTCCCCAAGGAACCATGGGGGCGACGGATTCCGCGTGCCGCTTTCGGCACACTCAATGGATTTGGTTTGGGATTTCTGGTGGCACTAATGTTCCTACCCATGGTCATGGGCCTCTATGCTTATGAGGACCAGTTATTGGACCCAGAGGGCCTGACGCAGGCCGAGCAACGGGGACTGGAGTTTCTCGAAGCTCTCGTGGAGAATCGTGACAATCCTGACAGTGACATGGTGCCCGCTGAGACTAGCACGAGTCGCGACGACACATCCGCCGTGCCGCTGGTGCCACGGGCATCGTGATCACTGCAACTGCTCGGCCTTGGATATTGGTTTGAAGAGTTCGAGTACAGGTGCCGCTCGTGACCACCAATCAACTGACCCAGCGGGCTATTTCTGAGCAGCTCGGATGCCGCTCTGAAGCCTCGAGTCCCGCCACCAGGAGAACAGTAGTGTGGTCAGGTGCGGATCAAGATGCTGTGTGCTGTTCATGGTAGCGCCTAATGGTGAATGTATAGGTCAACTGTGGCGGCGGTGTATCAGGGATCAGAGAACCTCTCTGGTGTTTCCGCTTGCGGCTGTTGCTTGTCCGATTGCTCTGGCGAATGGCAATCAATGTGACACGGTCACCGTTTCTGCAAGCGCTGCTATCCTGGATGGACAGTGGGAGATAAGGTGTATGCCGAAATCCAACTCGAGCCACCAATGACGCCAGTCCTCCGCCACACACGCACCTCTCTATAGTGTCCGTATCACTGTCCTACGTATCAGCATGATGGTGTGGCGTGCAGTTGAACTAAGAGTTGCGATTCAGTAGCACAACTCAGTAACACAATGACTCAGTCAGTTGACTGTAAGTGGTAACAGTCACGCAGACACTTGATCATGTGCACCATGATATGCTCTACTGACATTCACTACAATACTTTTGGAGAGGCTGTGAGAAAGCTTCCGCATTTAGAAAATTCTATTTTTAGAGCAGTGAATTATGTATGCCTTTTCACAATCAATCGTGGTCTTGGTGTGTCTGGGGTGGCTCTCACTCATAGCGCTGCAGAGACTTGATGCATGCATGGAAATCCTCAACATATCTAATCAATACTAAACCGTAGCAGTGCTATTCTTTGAGCAAGCATCAAAACCAGGGAGTAGTACAATACCGTACTACTCCCTGATCAAAACACTGCACTGGATTGAGCGAAACATAGATTTCATGCAAGATCAGACGCAAAAACCAGAACTTAAAAATTTAAAACGAATACAAGTTGAACAATGATGCCCGAGGTGTTGGCGTAGAAGTACAATGCTCAACTATGAAAATAATTCGGCGGCATCCCCCTGTGAGTATTGTACTGTTCCCTTATCCTGTTAGCACCGGCTTGACCGAATCTACCCTAGCAGCACTGTAGGATGAAATGCACGCACAACCAGTGACGCCAACAGTGCATGCAGGATGCTGTTGCGAGGTGCGCACTTCTCGCACCTGGTCACCATGGTCACCGGTCCAGCAAAGTACTAGCATTCAACTCCTCGCAGTTGAAGTTTCCATGAAAAGCTTCAGAGCTCGTAAACGAAGCGTTTCAAACTGAGTAGGTTGTTGACAAGCAGTATTACTTGTCACGGTGGCACTGCTGCACATCTGGAGACCATTGACGATGTTTCAGAGCCAGTAAACCGGGCACTGTAGCACATCACATGCACAACACTCCGCTGCACGCGTGTGCTCATTTACTGGCTGGTTTGCACAATACTGCTGTGCAACGCTGTCACCACACGTAGATCTGCACGTACTACGTCACGACCATGCACCGGCCGTGCTCCATGTCCGACCGCTACAGTATAGTCCTGTCAGTCCCAGCGGCTCAAGTACTAAGTAGCACCTCAACCTCTGTAGTCTGTACAGCTATGCCACAATCCATGGCCCGGAACAGTGCAATAACCGGCCTCTGTACACTGAGCTATGCCACAGTCCATGCAACAGTGCAATCACCTCTGTACAGCTATGCCACAATCCATCATGGAACAGTGCAATCATGGGCTTAGTAGAGTGGCATGAGCAGTGTTAGCTGCTTGCAATATTGTATGGTCTGGCATGCATGGCACTGTATGTATGCTAGCTAGCTGGCAGCGGCAATGAGTGGTATCTTGCCGGGCTTACCTACACTGTGCCAGGCCTATCTCAACGCCATGGAACCTGTAGAGCTGTGCAGACAATGTGCAGCTCAGACACTGCGATTATCATGATTCTCAAGGCACGAGGCACACCAGCGCACGCGTGCTCACTACAGAAAGAGGTTGGTGCGCAGCATGATGTTGACAAACTCCTGCTTGCTGACGGCATTGTCGCCGTCACGATCGGCTTCCTCGATCATCTCCATCAAGTCCTGCTCGGAGAAGCGCTCCCCAGTTTCCTCGCTGACCCGCTTCAGGTCGGCTAGCGTGATCTTCCCCTTGTGCGCCGTATCAAACATGTGGAATCCCTTCAGGATTTCCTCGTGCATGTCACGACTGTCGCCCTGGTGGAGTATGACACAATGCAGGAACTCTTCAAAGTTCAGTGCACTGGCGCTAGACAGGGCCAGATCGGCGATAGCTTCCTGCGTCGCCTTCTGAGACATCTGTAACCATGACCGTCACCCCGGCATGGAAGAAATAGGCAAACACGCATGCATGCCACAGTGATACACCCACGTGCAAGCATGCATGCGCATACACACACACACACACACACACACACACACACACACACACGCACACACGCACACACACACACACACGCGCACACACACGCACACGCACACACACACACACACACACACACACACACACACACACACACACACACATACACACAGACGTTGAGACAAAACAAAACCGAGCCCTAGTACCGACTCAAGGCCTTCACAAAGACATGGCCCAGTAATCGGAGTCAGTATGGTCACCAACTGCATGATTTAATCAAAACTTGAATTAGTGATCGACTCTTATTATCAACGGCTTCAAAAGCCCCATGGAACGCATGATATTTATTCAGTGAAATTGACGTTAGGACAGTAGGACCTTTTCTCTGATCATGGACTTACCGATACACATCTAGTGCACTGTAAGTGCTGCCATTGACCTACATGTACATGTATGTAAGTCGGACTGTTGGATGCTAACTACGATATGCATGATACTCCCACTAATATGTGGTTGTGAGCACGACCACTACAGCCGCCGGAGCCTGTATTGCGCAGCATCAGAAAGGGACGGGGAACAGTGAACTAGTATCGTTCAACGTAGTGTCCGAAAATGCCATCGCAATATATGGCAGTAAGGGGAGGGGGGCACTGACTGTCCCAACTGCTGACATCACCAGTTTATTATCTTCTACATGTACATGGATTGCATGGACTTACCCTGAAACCAAGACACTTCATAGCACGCCGGAGTTCGTGCTCATTGACGAGCCCTTTACTACGCGTGTCGAACGTATCAAACACCAGCCGCAGGTCGCGGATGTCCTGGGCGCTCAGCTGGCGCAAGATCTCCTTGTCGACGATGACGGAGTCCGCGCCACCGCCTCCGATCAGTCCGTCGACGGGTTGTGCGTGCAGCTGTTCCTGCAGCGACGCCAGAGCGCCCGGTCTGGCGCTGCGCGTTCGGCTTATCCTGGATAGGCGTCCGGCAGCGCTATCCGCTGCACCTGCCACTGACTGCCCAGCTGCTGTGCCAGCAGGGTTTTTAAGGCGCCCGGATACATTAGTCGACGCACTCAGCCGCGGGTTGGCTGCCCCTTTTGCCGTGGTGGAGGCAGGATGTGTTGATGCCGGAGGCTTCCTCTTCATTATCGAGTCACGCAACAATACTAGCAGGCACTCGCCGTACTCCAGACAACTTCACAAGTCAAGACGCTAGCCACCTAACTTTGAATCCACGCCTGGCGCAGACTGGACCTGGGGACTGTGATAATGAATGATGAGTGATCACGGCTCCGATGAGGTACACAGTATGTCACCTCAGGCTGAAATACCTCTCCCCGGTCTCCATTCGCTCCGAGTCACTCAGGAGTCAAAACAAAGGTGGTGCTTGTCAGGCTTTGCCTTATGATTCGTCTCAACGACTCTTCAACTTGAAGACTGCTGGCAGTGCTGCATGGAGCGGCTGCGTTTCTTTCTTTTGTTGATTCCTTCCAATCATAAATCTACTCCAACACATAGTCATTATGCGTAAATCACTTTGACTTAGCATAGCAGCTCTTATCTTGCTTGACGTGACGTCCAGGACATTCGCTACATGTACAGCATGTAGCGTCTCAAAAACGCTCACACGCTGCCATGGGGCATGGTTTCTTGATCCACTGACAAAATGATTGATAGCCATTTCGCGGGAAACAACACAAAAAGATTTCACTATTCAAAACCAGGGCTAGCCTAGGGATCGATTAGTCGTCAAATACCGTATTTGACGACTCCCTGTTCAAAACGCATTCAAAACAACAGCATGCACGTTTGGTTTACGTCAAGAGTCAGTCCAATGAAAAATATTGGGTTTGTTGTATCGTGTTCCTTATCTGATGAGTTCGGAGGAGGATAAATTTGGTGCTCTTCGAGAGGCTGCTACGAAGCTTCTAGCCTGCCAGATCCACCAGCTCCCCTGTCGCGAAGGAGACAGAGGCTTTCATATTTGGACTCAGGGAGTGATTGTCCAAATTGTCGACAATGGAAATCAAGTGACGATTGATGATGGCACTGGGCTGGTGATTATAATGGGACTTCATGCTCTGATTACGGGCGAGTCCTGGCTAGAGCTAGGTATGGATGAATGCACATAGAAGCAATGCTGAGGCATAGCTTTTTTTTGCATGCGCACACACACGCACACACACACACACACACATACACACGCGCACACACACACACACACACACACACACACACACACACACACACACACACACACACACACACACACACACACACACAACGTATAACAAATTATTACAAATTATGAGCTCCCAAGAGTGTGCAACAGTTACTGTTGATGCCCTTTCTATTGGGTCCGACTCCCCCAATGGCGAAAACTCACATCATGTGGTACATGGTGTAGTGTTCCCGTCGTACGTTTCCAGCGACCAGCAGAGCTGGAAAAATAGCACTCCTGACAAAAGCCCACTCAGCTTACCAGTATGCGAGCCATCAGTCATGATCATGGCAGACACTCAGACTACGCGCACGCTAGCCTTTCTTGTACGTAGTACAAATCGTACTTTGAACACGTGATGTGAGTTTCGCCGTCGGAGACCCTGCGTGCAGACTCTCGGCAGTTTAGTCACTCTTGCTAACACCAACACACCAACACACACACACACACACATGCACACACACACATATCTGTTTCAATCTCACTAGTTTCACTGTTGAAGGTCCCAAAACAATCATTGGACCACCCTACCGTGCACGCGTCATACATGTATCGTTTTTTTTCTTATTCTTCGCGATCATGGCACAGGTAAATACGTCATGATCACGGGACACGTGATGCACGCTCCAAGTACAGAAGGTGATGCAGCATCGGTGATGACAACGAAGATCGCCGACCTGTCCGCGGACGCCAACTGCGAAGTACTCTGGTGGCTTGAGGTGATGGACATACAGCTGCGGCTGGGAGACGCTTCTGCAGACTACTAGCATGCTAAGTGCTGGCTAGCAGCTTCTGTACAATGCTGTGTTACTGTGAGTGCACCACTGGTACAGCCATCTACCTGCATACTACATGTAGTGTGCAGCGCTGCTCAATGAAATCCGATATTGTGAGCCCAGTACGTGCCGGGTGCTGTGCAGCCCTAGGCCCTACCTGCAAACAATGGGATGTGAAGTGGTGCAGGGTGCAAACTCGACTCACACGATTGGATTCCATTGGGCAGCACTGTACACGCAGCGTACGTCCCGTAGCGCTCTGGATCGCATATTCGTTTAAAATAGGAGATGTAGTGTCTACAATTTGAAGCTGGGCATGTTGTTGTGTGATTATTCAGTGGTGTGATATGTGGCCAGTGCCCCATGTATTAATTGTATATGCACAGTACATTTGTGTGTGTGTGCCACCGGTGACCCGAACATGTTTGCACATCCATAGACCTATACTCACAGTCACTGTATAGTTAAACTGTTTTCACTAGCGCAGACCTCTTTGGCAAGTCGTGGCTTTTATTTGCCTTTATCAGCGCATGCCGACCATGTTGACCGTTGGCCATTCACTGAAATCTTTTCTTCTTCTTTCTGTGACGTCTTGTGTACATGGCGTCAGTATGATGTGTGCTCACTGCTTATAGCTACACGTTCCCTACAACATTACCAAATAAGAAGATCTTTATTGTACTTTTGCTTGTACAGTTCATTCTCTCATATCATCGAGTTCCTAGTGACTATAGTTACGCTTTTGAATACCGTAATCATCACCACGAGCTTTATGTGAGTTCTGTTGGTTGTTGTAAGGGATCCATACAAGTACGAGTAGGTTTGCACAACTCCCCGGTCGGTTTCATCTGATAGCTACACTGTACTCTCCTTCCCTTGTCCCTTGTGTCCTTCCCCTGTGCTGGTATAACAGTGAGTGTGTATGTACACTGACAAAAAGCTTACAAACAAGAGAGCATACGGGCACACACACACACGCAAACACACACAAACACACACACACACATGTGGTATTTTACACATTAGAAGCACTAGCGCAGGATGTACCCACGCTACTGCAAACTTTGGCTTTGTTCGCATGGTGAAGAGAAGAGCAAAAGATTGGCCCCACACACTACTGCCAAAGAAAGTGACAGACCAGGAGGTAGCAGTTATCAAAAGGATAATAAAAATACGAAGGAAAAAATTGGGAACACTTGCAAAGGTGACCTTCAATGATGATATGGCGGAAAACCGCGGCGGCAATGTCACAGCATAAGGCATGGTGAGCTATGGTACTCTCGACAAAAAGCTTGGTCATGACAGCAGTAGATGCATGGAAGCAGGATGGACAATAAATACATTATCATGCTCGCCTGTAATAAATACACAGCTGACTTTGTACATAAATGGCGGGGCTGGAAATCCGTTCGGACAAACCCGCCTCCAATTTCGGAGAGCAAGATGAAACACAGGAAACACTAGCAAACTAGAGACGGAGGATGTTTTGGAAGTGGCCATGCCTTCGTCTTCTGCACTGTACCAAAAGCCATGGTTGTGGCCATGTTTGAGCCCGCTATGCACGCTAAGCCAGAGTATTCTTCAGCCAAGAAATTATCACCAGTTACGTTCACGAGGAAAGTTTACAGAGCACAGGCAGCTAATCTTCCGGTAGCGTTCAAGCATGAGAGCATATCGCAGAGAAGACTCGAGCGAGCGGGCCTCTGATGAATAGTCAACCCATTCCGTAGGAGCTGCATACGAACGTTTAATGGAGCCGTTCACCAGTCAAGAACACGTTTCAACAGTGCTGCTACCAGCATGCTGCAATCAGACATCATACGTCATGTGATCTCCGACCAGGACAGCCTCTCCAAGCAGGCCGTCGGCGAGCATCTCCTGGACAAGCAGACCGGTCTTGTCAGCGTTGAGGGAGAACACTCCCTTGCCAGGCAGCTGCGTTTGGCCAGAGTGAGGTTCGTTGACTGACGGGATGACACGCATGCCCATGACTAAGTCGTTGTAGCGCCAGAACGAGATCTGACTGGCATCTGCAGCAGCAAATAGTCAGCACACGTACAATCACACATCAGCAAACGAACATCATACTGCCTTGATAGAACCTTGACAGGACAAGAAGACTGGTTATTGTGCAGCATCAGTGCTCCCATGAAGTTACTGTGCATCATCAGTGCTCCCATGAACCATCCGTGTGCACATGTGTCTACAGTGATGTACAAAGTACTACATGTAGTACCAAGAGTCCATATGCACTCTTGGTAGTACTGGAAGCAAGTGCAAGGAGACTCACTTAATTTAGGCTAAGGTCTGGAGAATCCATAAATACAAATACAAATACAAAAGCGCAAGGTATAGCATATCAACATATTACTTCCAGACAAAACAAGTTTATAACACAGGCACAGTACCACAGCTACTAATGCCAGGATGGCAAAAAGCATACATTCAACACTGTGTAAGCAGCTTACTGTCCATGAAGCCGTCTTGCTTGACTAGGCGTCGAGCCACCGACATTACTGTATCACCATTGAAGATCGGGAAGCGAACTGCAAAGTGTGGCCGCCCTACCTGCTGGTTAGACATGCTGGCAATGACGTGTGGCTAAACAGAGAGAGAGAGAGAGAGAGAGAGAGAGAGAGAGAGAGAGAGAGAGAGAGAGAGAGAGAGAGAGAGAGAGAGAGAGAGAGAGAGAGAGAGAGAGAGAGAGAGAAATACACACACACACAAGTACGAACGCACATGCACATAGCAAAGTCAATCCAGTCAGCCGTCCACAGAGTGCTGAATGCGAACACATACACATATGGAAGACAGACGGGTCCGCTTGGAAATACGCTGTAACTCAAAGTTTCATGCCTAAGAAATCATCACACAACACACGCACGCGCGCGCACACACAGAAAATTCTTGTTTACAGCATAAATTAGTAATGTGCCATTCTCAACCACCACTTTTCCCCGAGAAGTAGTCATATTGAGCTCGCACAAGCCAGCAAAACATAGAGATCCTACCTTCTCCTCAATCTTGAAACTACCGAAAGGCTGGCCAGGGTAGCACTGATCCTGAATCTTGCTGTCGGCATTGCTGCTGTCAAAGATCTGAATCTCTTCAAGCTGGATGGCAATGGCAGAGATAACAAAGATAAGAAATACCAGTACACCAATAAACAACCATTCCCGGTAGGTTACAGTCTGACACTCAGCTCAGCTACACAGGTAACAACCACACAAACCAAGCTGCATACACACACACACACATATACACATACACACACACATGCACGCACGCACACATGCGTGCGGAAACAACCCTTCTCGGGTGAAGGGAAAATATTGTGTGTGTGTGTGGGGGGGGGGGGGGGGGGGGTGTGCGCGTGCGAGAGACCTGCCACAGTGGCATGGACACAGCACCAGCATACATGACTACATCGGACCGCTGCCCAAAGCCACCATACTCCATAGGGTAGCATACCTCGAGTGTCTTCTTCAAGTACGCAATGTTCTGCTGGAGCAGGGGAACTTCATCGAATGATGTTGACAAGTTAAGGGCCGAGACGCCATGCTTTGAAGTTTGTTCCTGGTCAAGAAACACAGCATCAATAAAAGAAGACCATGAGAAAATAGGCCAGGCAAACTGCAAGTCTAAGCAGAGTGTAGCAATGCACTTTGCATTCCACTGATATAGCCTGTCAAGTGAAAGACCCTGGGAATTACAATATACCTTGCACATCACATTACACTGAATATAGCCAGTCAACTATCATATGTGGTGATTGGGTCTCCGAGATGCACGTACCTTCATGTACTGCACAAAGGGCATGACTTTCTTCATGTACTTCTTGATGTTGGGAATGTGACTCAGCTTGCCAAGCATGGCCTTGTTGTCGGGGAACACACCATTGCCCTGTCGATAATGGCAGGGGCAACAACAAGAACAAGAACAACAACAACAACAGATGGGTCACGCAGCAGCACAAGAGAACAACACAACAATTGTAAGTCTGCGAGGAGAAACTTGGCCAGCTCCTTACTGCCAGGTGAAGTGGCTGATCAGATAAAATCATGTTTCTGGAACAGTACTTCAGCCAGTTGAGATACCGTAGAAAGGGGACATTGCTTGAAGCTCTGGACAACACATTCTGAGCAAAGAAAGTGCAAGCTCTTCTAAGTATAAGTTTTCGTTTAAACAGAGATTAAGAACTCAGATGGTGAGCCAACTAAGCCGAGGTGAGCCAAGGATTAGTAAGTGGACTCGATCGCATAAGTTTTTTCCATGTTACAAACAGAGCGTACATTGCAATAACGATGGCAACAGACTAGACGCACAAATAAGGTCGTAGACATGGGTCGGGCTCCAACCTACCTCTTCATACGCTTGCTTCATACTGGTCAAAACACCTTGCTGCCAGGGCAGGTACTCCTTGGATACGTAGATGCTGGCATTGACGCAGTACTTCATACCCGCAATAGTCTGTAAGATGCACACGAATGTAGCACATGTACACATGCACATACGCACGGCGTGCACAAACACACACACACACACAACACACACACACACATGTACACACACACACACATGTACACACACACACATGTAGAACGTGCGCACATGCACAAACAGGGCGTATTGTCTTATGCGAACAGCTGAACTGGCAGCGGAATCCTTCTATCGCACAGAATCCGTCCAGATGTACTGCAGCACAGAGCAGTATTGGAAAGGCCAGTCTTATCAATATCGGGCCGGTAAAGACTCGCAGTTCAAGCTACCCCCCCCCCCCCCCCCCACACACACACACACAGGCAGAGTACAGGAACACAGTGAGTACTTCAAACAGGCATACAAGCTCGCACTGTACAACATCCCAGCAGGATACTGACTTACGGGAGTCGCTGCCTTTCCCTTGCCCTTGTTCTTGGCAGAGATGACGCCCTCGATGCGTGTGTGGAAGTCGTGGCGCGCGTCACCCAGGTACTGTGACTCAGCTAGCTTCAAGCTGTCGACTGTGCCTGCCTCTGGCCAGCGGGCATGCATGATGCTCTTCTCCTGTATGAAGAATGGAAGATGCAGAGCAAGCAGAATTCTTAGTTGTCAAGCTGGAGACGACTGATTAACACAACATACTTTGCAAGAGTATCACAAACTGACCGCATACAGCAAGAAGGAGAGGATTTCACACACCATAATGACCTCGGTGCAATCAAAAGAGATCCGATCCACCGACTGTTAAGGTAAACCACAGTATGAAGATCTATTCACGTTTCAAAGAAACCCCCCAAAAAAGAGCATAGCTTCGTAGAGAGGGCCACCTCTCACCTTGCCAAGCAGAGTCCAGATGTGCTCGCAGATATGAGGACAGAACGGCGCCAGCAACAGGGCCTGAACCTGAAGTGCACAAGAAGCACGCACACACACACACACACACACGCACGCACACACACACACACACACACACACACACACACACACACACACACACACACACACGTGTGTACCAGCGTTGGTTGAAGTCCACGTGGCCCGAGAATGCTTCTGCTTTTGCATTGTTGCATACAAGACCGTGCGTCTATGAAACCTCCAGCCACTTTCACAGCACCAAACTACGGTGAGGCACTGACCAACACTGGCCCACAACATAATACTGCAAAGCGAGAAACTTTCGCTACATGCAAATTTTGCATTAATAGGAAGAAATGCACTGGCTCATGATGAGAAACTTTCGCGATTCTATCCCTTCAGTTGGATCTTGTACAGTCTACAATCAATGCACAGAGCTGTTTGCGGCGATTTAAATTCACGATTCTGTGACAGTTTCGAAATAGCGAAATTAAAATCCCTAGCGAAAGTTCCCTACTTCGAAAACAGTCTACTAGTACGATGAAATGCTGCATAGTGATTCAGCACTGCAGAAGTAATCTGGTTCATGCTCTAATACATTGTCCCAAGGTAAACACACCCCTAAAGTCGCAATCCAACTACCCACAGAATAGATTGATATTGATAATATTTTTCAAGGATTCTCCAGAGGCAAATGGATGCCTATCAAAGGGAGTCTCCTGGGGAAAGGAAGTGAAGGTGGCTGTTATGAGAATATAATCATGATAAGTCACACCTGAATGGAGAGCACTCAGCTCAACCCAGCACCACTAACCTCAATGAAGCGAAGCACCAGGTCGCGATGCATACCGTCAGTGCCGGAAGCCGCCATGTCACGGTACTGGTCACGTGCAGACTGGGCAACAACAGACAATCAGCAACAACAGAGATCAATCAGGGATTAGAATACTTAGAAGAAAGGACACACTTTCATTCAGTCAACTCGGATGGAGAGCCAATGATAAAATTAACAGAAGAAAGGACCAAAGGCTTACAAGTTAGGGGTCGTCCACAAATATCAATATTTTTTTAGAGAAGATACTCGTTCGTTTGGGGGGGGGGGGGAGGCGGTTTGGTCCCTGTTTCTCGTCTTTGTGAAAAAAATATCGAACTCTATCTATGGACGGGCACTGTGCAAACATGTAGTTTATGACCTACAGAAAGTGAAAGTCAACCTCGTGAACATAGCCATGGCAAGGTTGTGCGACCGTGGCAACGTAAACCTAGGTGTATGGTGAATTTAGAGTTGCAGCTGGTCACGTTTCATGAGAAAATTGCACTTCATTAAAAAAATCTCGATCCTCTGCATAAACAGGTGTATGTTCGTTTTGAGGGGCCAACAGCCTTCCAACTTGGAAGGCTGTTGGCGTGAAATAACTTGAGAAAGGGGAAAGTGAGCGCACTCAAGACGAAAACAAGCTAAACAGCACACTTCCAAGTTGGACAACTATGGGTAACTTGTAACCTTTGGTCCTTTCTTCTTTTAATTTCATTCATTCAGACTTACTAGAAGGATTCTCCAAAAGTAAATGGATACTTATCAGGGATATTTCCTGGAAGGGTGGATGAGATTTCAGGTTCTTGAACAACATTACGAAACATTATTATAGCATGTTTGTCTCCGAGGAAACTAATCAAATGATTGTGGCTGGTTGCAGACTATGACACTAGTCTCGGCACAAATACTTGTACTTGGACAGAAGTGTATGCACTATGCAGTGAGATAGAACGTGTCATGTCCAGCGTGTGTTGACCGCCAGTTGACCGACTACATAGAGAGCTGCACTGTGCAGTCCTCAAACCAGTATATCACTGGATAAGGCAAGGGTACAGGGTGGCTCATAGGGTGGTGCAGTCTACTCTGACCGTACAGCACAGCTAGGGAATTCGATAAGTCGGGAACCCAGCATACAAACTTAGCCAGCCTACTTACCTGCAGCTCAAAGAAGCCAAACTTGAGGGCATCTCTGAAGAGCATCTTGCTAAAGCTCTCGTCAGCCAGCTGAATGCAGTTGTTGATGGCTGTCTCAAACACTTGATCCATGAAGAGAGTCTTGGGCCCGGTGCGGAGCGAGTCAATACCAGCCAACACTTCCTACATTGACAAAGTGGTACAGAAACAAGGAATAGATCATTGCAAAATAGTACCCTACAACAATCATCAAATACTACTATCCCCAACCCACATATAGGTAGGCGCATACACGCATGGAGTGTCCTACAAATCAGACAGCCAACAGACTGCAACACGAGACCAATCATCCGAGGTACCAAACCACATTACCGTGAAAACAACATCCGAATAATTCAGTCGACATTGGTAGTATATGTAGTACAAAAGTACAAAATTGATTGTCTGCGCCACGGGGTGGCCACCGAGGACAGGCTTGCAACGTCCCTTACCTTTGTCCATTCAACCTGCGTGTGCAGGCGCAGGATACCGGAGTTGGCAGTCTCCTCGGCAAAGTTAGCATCCTCCACGCTGTCACCAGCATCAGCAAGACCGAACCGCATGCCTACACGGCACAGCAGCAAAGCAACAGCGGGGAAAGGAGACATGTTTACGGAATGTTAATGAACTCTGAAACAGCCAGAGGTCCTGTGCAATCCAACACACTATGCAAGTACAGTGAATAATGCACAAGGCACAAAATTATAGAACAAAGTATGTTGTGACCCACCATTAGGTAACCATCAGACAGCAACAAGAACTGGAGACTGAGATTGATCACTGAAATATGATCACTGAAATATGAGCACTGAAGGCAAGAGATCCCTGGCAAGATAAGTGGAACTGCTATTCAATGTACGGACAGTGCTGGTTTGTTTGTTTGTTGCTTCATTGCGGCGACACCTACCATCAGCTGAGAACTGCTGCACTGCCTGATGCAGAGTGAGGAAGTTGCCAGTAGACTTGGACATCTGCACCGCAACACAAGGACAACACACACGCGTGCAAACACAGGAATCTGTCAGCATCACAGGGTGGGAGAGCATGTGAACAACGAATATTGAAGATTCAGGGTGAGGACACAGACACACAGACATACAGACCCACACACACACACAGACCCACACAGACACCCACCCACCCACCCACCCACCCACCCACCCACACACACACACACACACAAAGGAGGCGAGAGGAGCACACTAGTACCTTTTCAGAGTTCAACATCAAGTGTCCATTGGCACGCACTCCCTGGGGCCACCTAAACACACGCACACGCACGAGTAAAACAAGTTCAGTACCTACACAGTAAACACACATACCAGTAGCACACCAGTTTCACCATATTTACTCTTGGGTACTAGTAACAGGAGCGCATCGCAAACACAGACCAATTAGCAGGGTACTATCACGGCATGGTACCGGTACGGTATCATCTGCCCACATGATTGACTCCCCACACATGTCACGTACAGTACCACGAGAACACCACGTGGAGCTCCTCATGGTCGTGCTTTCAGGGTGGGGTGCATGAACAAGTCCTAACTGTAAGCCATACAACATGTACGAGCTCGTACACTGTATACATATTGCATGTTCTGCGGTCTATCCGTGATCACTTCACCTTACAGAAATAGTGAGCTGAACACTAGAGTAATGCCCTGGTGTGGGAACACGCGAGGCCCTAGTTCGCCTAAATTCGTCCATCGTTTGACCTTAGTTGCACCCAGAGGCCAGACATACCATCTCTCTTTACCTGGCTGTTAATAAAAGCGGGATGCTCTAGATTGAGAGAGAAGGCACTTAGGCAGTACATGTACATGCAAATCCAAATGTACACAGAAATTCATGCGCACCCACTCACCTGTTCTTCTCTTCCGGCCACATGGCTACGTGGTTGTACATGAAGTAGGTGAGATGATTGGGCACGAGGTCCTTGCCAGAGACGCGCAAGTCCAGTGGGTACCAGTACTGGAACTCATTGCGCATTTTCCTGTACAGCAGCAGCACATACACACAACATATCACAGTGCACATATTGCATGACTGGCAGCACTACAGCAATCTTGAATGTCGAGGAAAGGGCCTAAACTAGCCATGCAGAAGCTCGCCCAAAGGGTGCCCGGTACTGAAGTGCCCGTAACTTCGGGGTCCGGATAGCCGAGGTATGAGTGTTAACGGACTGTACACTTACTGGAGGATTGTAGCCGGGATGGTGCAGTCACTGGGAATCTCCTTGTCCTTCAAGAAGATATAGTCCCACACGGCCGGTGTCATCTGCTCCGGCCTGCACGCATATACGCACACACACACGCACGCACGCGCACACACACACAGAGTAGAAAATCTCAACGCAGTGATTGTGCGAGGATGGAAGTTGGCGTTGCACGATGCTGCTTAAGTTTCACTTGCCAGGCACCTTTTTAAAACAGTATAGACCTAGTTATAAACCCTTATCCAGTGTAGTAATGTAGTGCACTGTGATCAGACCACTACACAGACAATACAGTACGAAGTACCCCGGATAGCAACACACATGTACTATAAATGTGCCGTAACCATATTATAGACACATGGTGTTCTGCTGTCCCACGTGCTGCAGTGCTGAGGTGTTCACTGAGTGTACTCCAGTTCTCCAGTACTCACTTGATGTCACCAGTGCCTGGCTGAGAGCCATCGACTGCGCTCTGCAGGAAGTGCACCACCGTGTAATAGGCCATGTAGATAGTACTGTCCGACAGGGACTCAATCAACCAGCTGTCATCCCATGGCAGGCGAGTGCCTAACCGAATGCACAAATACACAGATGAACACCAATGAGAAGCAAGTCCCGCGCAGTGTTATGTGCCTTGTAGAGTTCTGAGGCATTTTCTAATTATAAAAGTCGGAATTAAGCTCTAAAAATATCACGGTTCGCGTGAGACTCGGTGAGAGGCCGAGTTTTCCGCATCCGTAGGAACACCACCACCCTCTATGGGTAAAGGTGCAAAAAACTGCAACACCCAAACAATTTCTTTGATTTTGTTGAATTGATGCGGAATTTTCTTGGGGACAATGTGCAATCGTGGCTGTGCAGGGGGCAGATCAGCACCATCATCAAGCGCCTCTTCATCAATGCACAAATTAACGATTGCAGTGCCGGCGCTCGCCTTACCCAAGCCGTAGATCCTAGCGCAGGCGTGATCATGGAGCCAGTCCAGGGTCTTCACGAAGTTGTGCCGTGTCTCGTCATGATACCTGCATACAGAACAATGACCGGAGGGCAACACAGAACAGGACAAGTGATGGCACAGGGGTGGATGACCAACAAAGAAAAGAACATCAGGATAAGATGTTAAAATGTACACATAGAAAACCCTTGCCACATTGTCATCGGGTTTATTAAGCCTGAGAAGTCGCCGAGGCCGACAAACTTGAAGTATGAGAGTTCCGTAGAAACAGACTGCTAGCACGGCAGAGTCTTCACTGCGAAATCCTTGAATCGCTTCTTCTTCTTCTGATAAACAAATAGTGCCACGGGAGGCATGCAGATGATTGCACACCCTGAAAGTAAGGCGTCGCTGAGACACCTGCGATGCTGTGTGCTGTGGGTTCGGACCGGCTCGAGGCGAAAACATCCTTGAATGCCTTCGAAAATGCTATGCCCTTCAAAGGCCTTTAATATAACTGCTGTGAATCCATGCGATCTATACTGGTATGTGATTGTTCATGGTTCATAGTACATGTACTTGTCGAAGTAGTGCATGAAGTGTCTTACGTTTCCATCTGTGCCAGAACATCTCCAGCCTCCTTCTTCCACTGCTCATCGCCGTACTGCAGCACCCTACAAAGTACAGATACACACACACACATACACACGCACACACACGCACACACACACACGCGCGCACACGCACACACACACACGCACACGTGTGTGTCGTCAAGCAGAGCAGTATGTAATACAGCACCGAGCAAGGAGGGAAACAAACAACATGCAGAAACGAACCAAAAGGATCACGGTTCGCGTGAGACTCGGCTGGAGGCAGAGTTTTCCGCATCCTTAGGAACACCACCACCCTCTATGGATCAAGGTGCATGGTAAATCAATAACCATCCAGGATGGTGCAAGGGGAACTTGTACCTCTAAATTAGTCTCCCATCCACAGTTCAACCTAACAATCAATAGACACTACAAAGAAAAATATACGGTATGAGAGTGGCAAACTGGGAACAGTTTGTACATGTATGAAAGGCTTTGCACAGTGGCCTGTGGTCCAGTGAGGATCAACACCCCTTTCCTTGCCCCACTTGAATGAACACACATAATCGAGGCAACCTGCCCTTACCATTGATCAGTTTTGGCAACAACGCAAGTGTCACCGGAGCGTGATACAACGCGCTTCTCTGGCTCGTAATAGATGATAGCTTGACCCTGCGGCAACGAAACAACAGAACAGGACAGCATAAGTGTTGATACAGCACATACCTGTATGCAGGACACCGGAGGATGTACCCAGTGTGCTGACAGTGCTCAACACCGCGGGACATTCAACATAACATGGTACATAGTATACTTGTGCTTATCAATCACACGAGATTATTTGTTGTTCTCATCGCTGCAATAAGTGGCAAGAACGTCACAATGCTGAGAGAGACTCACAGATGTTCCACTAGAACAGTAGAACTACAAGTGAAGCAACGCACAGGTGCATTACTGAAATGCCGATATACATACCTCATCAACCATAGACTTTTGCAGGATTTTCTTGGCATCCTGCACCTTCTCTCCCTTGCACTCACCTACCAGCATCACCTGCATAAAGCACACACACACACACACACACACACACACACACACACACACACACACACACACACACACACACACACATACACACACAGTGACACACACAGTGACACACACAGTGACACACACACACACACACACACACACACACACACACACACACACACACACACACACACACACACACACACATACACACATACATACACACACACACACACACACACGCACGCATATTTAGAGCCCTTGTACTACTAGTATGTAAGCCTTGCCTGATAGGTTTTACATGTTCTCACGATGACAGCGTGAACAAGGTGGAGAGCGTGAACAAGGCGGAGGACCCACTGTATGGGAAACAGTGTTCCTGACTGCAACCATAAACCGGTTTCCCATACAGTGGGTCCTCTGCCTTGTTTGCGCTGTGATCGTGAGAACGTGTTAAATCATCATCATCATGTACATGTACGTCCATGTCCTGTGCAACGTAGATTTGGAATAAAATAGGTGCACTGACAAATTCCGCTGGCTATCATGCCATGATAATGTGCACGTGTGTGTGTGTGCATGTGTATGTATGCCTGTGCACACAAATCCAGTCATTTGCCTACACACATTTTAACGAGGTTCATGATCAAAAGCCAACACGTGCGAATCCAATTCCCAGTCAAAGTGCCGATTTGAAACTAGCTTATCGAATCCCATAAAAGTATTACATCTCGGGCCAGTCGCCCATAGTCAGAACACTACAGGAAAGCATATGATAATGCTAGCACATGTACTACCACACAATCTGGACCTTATGGACCTTATGGGATACATTCCTGATTTGGAAAGCTAAAAAACCGTGATCAGTAAAAGACTTACACCCTCATAGAATCCCTTGAGGTACGTCTTCTCCTTGGCTTCCAGCAGCTTGTCACGGTCATTTTGACTAGTGACCTTGAACATCTCACAGGCCTTGACTGCAGACAGGTCACCGAAGTCTGGAATGTGGATGATGGGAGTCTGCAAAACAGCACATGGAGGGGGAGACGACGCATACAAATCAACAAATTTTGGCCGGTGAGAAACTTTGGCCGATCTCGAAATGAAACTTTTGGCCGTCATTTAACTTTGGCCGATTGGGGTTTTCAAAAAAAGAAATCGATTGGTACTTGCTGCTCTCACATACAGCCATGGCTCAATAACGCATCATTTGCCTCTATGACAAATTTCGGCCTGCAATTTACTTTGGCCGGTTGGTACCCAGCAGCGAAATCAGCGAAAATAAATCGTCAGCGAAAATAAGTTGATTACAGTTACACACTACTTCGCCATGCGTACACTAATTGTGAGTGGGCAAGGACTTAGGTTGGCTCTGCAGATAGAGCTTAGGCAACACACCCACCGTGCAGTGCTCCTATCCCATACACGAGAAGTAAGAAAAAGTCCACTAAGAGTCAGGCTTTGAAAGTACATGTGCTTAAAGTTGAACTCCATACATGGCATTGCAAAAAATGGAATAGACGCACAGCCAAGCTGAACACTCACAGGCTCAAAGGCAACCATTTCGTCCGTGATGCCAAACTTCTTGCGAAGAGCCTGTAAGGGAAAACGCAAACACAGATAGCAGTTGCGGAGTGATTTTCGAGGTGCCATCACAAAACACGTTGCAGAATCGCAGTCAAATCTCTCACTCAAGTCACCATGAAATGCCAGTACATGGATTCACGGGTCAGCAGGACGAACACTTCTGTCGAAATAGCTGCAGATCAGCAACTAAATTGTACCTGACCAACAATTCGCTGCCAGAAAAAGTAATTCCAACCAAGTCTTTCAAAACATTCACAGGTTTGAGGGAAAGATGCAAACAGTAAATGCCTGAAGAAAAAATTGACTGTCACAACCAGGACTAGAAGCAGGGAGGGACCTTTGCTTGAGGCCAGTGCAAAATGCAAATATAAAGCAGTGCAACTATACTTGGTAAACGGACAGTTGAAGGACATGACTAGACAATGGCTGACCTCCTTCTTCTTGAGGTCACGCAGGGCGGCAAAGTCATCAGGCGAGTCTGACGGTACAGAGGTGACGACACCGGTACCTGCACAACCACAACAACAAAAAAATGATTTGTCTGCTATCACGTGACATTCGGTGATATTCCAGTGTGGATTCTGTGCACTCAGGGTGTGGCGAAGAAAGTGATCCGATGCAGGTGCCGGTATGCACCTCGCTCTTTTGCCGTGCACGGCAATATCAAACACAGAGTAACTAAGCACACAAAGTAAAAGTGGGGAGGCTTCCTGCAGTTTCATAAACAGCTAAGAGTGGAATAATTATCGTGAAACGAGTTGAACTATTGCAGTGTTAATGGAAGAGAGCGTGTGGGCTCTTTAAGCACACAAAGCTACGAAAATGTGGCTTAAACGAGAGTGATTTTCACCAGCTAGGACCGCACTGACCTTTGTCTTCCTTGATGGTCAGCATAGGTAGGGTGTAGACCGTGGAGTATGTAGAGCGTGGTGCTGACAGCGCCACACCAAGCAAGTCCTGGACAAAGCGGAAAAACAACACCAACACACCAGTGCAAGTTTGCTGAGTACAACACAACACAACACAACTGTACCAGTGTCACAAAGCGTACTAACAAAAAATAATGCATCGGGTCTACAAATGCAATGCACACAAACCGTATGATTCTACTGAAGTTCCTACACATGCCCCATGCAATCCATAGAAGTAAACGGAAGTTCCTTCATGAAGATAATCATGATGAACAAGTACTGCATGGCTAGGAGGTGGCACTTACACAACCTGTAGACATGCATCACAATCTATGCTGGGCCACCACACTCGCAAAGGTATTGGTCAGCACCGTGCATGCATGATGGCCGCGTGAGCCTCTCTGCACATTCTCCACGGCAGCCATTGGAAACGTTTGGTACCACACCATTTATTTATCGTGCACAGCACAGAAACTAGAACAAAGCTACATGCACGCACTGACAATCACAAAAACCACACTGAACACCTAACATGACTCTTGCAATCCAACAACAGTCTGTACAGTCATGCATACAACAATACGTCACTTCACTCAACACAGACGACGACGACGTGTACCTTTCCGGTGAGAACGGCCAGCTCGGTGACCTTTCCAAACTCGGCCGTCAGCTTCTGGTAGGCCATGTTCCTTGCAGCACGGCGAGTGCTAACGAAGATCTCACCAGTGGCTGTTTCAAACGCAATGTACTGTGAGAACAGAGGAAAGTAATGGTATACAGAATACAGTCAACAGCAAATTTCATCTTTCACCGAGAGTCTAGCCGTATGGATAGACGAGAAGGCAGAAATGCCTGTGTATCTGGTGAAGTAAAACAAAAACAAACAATCAACAAACAAATACAAAACTGAGTGCAAGACAAAGCTACTGTACAGTGTGAACCTGTCTTAGCACACAGCGTAAGGGTGCCCACAATCATGACCTCTGTGTGCAGGCGGTCTCCCCTTATGCAGGGCCATTCACTGGACACGATGATACCCTTCGGTCCAGGTTCTGGTGGTCTTCTGGGACAGGTGGTACCCTTGACAGGTTGCACTGTGCCCCCTCCCCTCCCCCCCCCCCTTGGTGAACAATGTTTACGTATTTTCATGTAGACTATGTATGTACAGGCGCCCGCCACGCATACACACGTGAGCAGCACATGTGTAGAAATATTCTGCACACCACACACGTCACAAACAGCGCCAGCAGCAGCAGCAGCAGCTCACCGTAATGTCGGGATGGAGCCAGCAGTTGGTCTGGCCGTACATGGTCTCCGCACGCAGAGTGGCGGCAACAAGGAACACACGCTTGTCACCAGCAAACCTATCCAGCAGAACGAACAACGCCATCTGTTATCACAGTGTGCATCTCACTGTGAAACTTCAGTAGAACTAGCCTGGTCTAATACAACATACTGACTAGTTCCGGGAATGTGAATGGACCGTGTGCACGATATCATAATGACGACATCCGTACACATTGCCTGGACGAAACGGGCACTTTGAAGAGACTGTTGCCATAGTTCTGGTGCTGTGCAGATCTGAAAAGAGCACAACGTCCCATTTCATCCTACAGATGTGTACGCACGTTGTACACACTTCATGGTGCAGCCTAGCTATGATGCTACCCAAAGTCACTTGACATTGTGTATAGAGGACCACAACCCCAACCCGGGCTCAGAAGTCAGGACCTCGGCCGCAGGCTCTAGGACCATTGGAGGAATAGTTTGCTGCAGTTTCCCAGCAGTGCAATCATCCAAATGATGCGAATTGCTACCACCAGGACAGAACAAAAACACGCCCCGCCCCGTTGAACTTACGCAAGCTTCTCTGGGTATGGAGTCTGCACGCCAAGCTTGATCAAAGTGTATTCCTGTGGCCCTACACCCTGGAAGCAAGATTCCGAGCAAATCCCAAACCAACAAACAGCCATCGGCAAAGTAAAACGCTCATACATGCAATTCAAACCACAACAAAGAGATTGAGAAGTAGTTAGTTCAAGCTCTCGAGCCTTGTGACATGAATCAGAATTTGCGTGGACAGCTTGCACTATGTATACTACCTGTTCAAATTGCCTCAACAAAATACATCGCACTCGAACACAGCAATGCGCGTTGAGATGTGGCTGCTAGCGCACAAGTACATGTACTTGGCGACTTGAGGAGCTGCAGAAAGCATCCGAACGCATCTTCAAGTGCAGTGCTGCTCAGAGAATTCCAATCGGATGAATCACGTCTTCGCCCTGCGCAAGCTCACATGCCAGTGTTTGCAGGCCTAGGGCTGCTCACCGCCCTGTACCACTTCACATCCCACTGTTCGCAGGCCTAGGGCTGCACACCGCCCCTGTACCACTGCACATCCCAGTGTTTGCAGGCCTGGTGCTGCACACCGCCCGGCGTGGCATTGACTCACTTGATCGGACTGAGCACTGCACTCTACGCTGCATATACAAACGTATCATGGTTTATCTTGCAAAACAACTCTCTCCCAAAGATCCATGTCCACAGTGCATGAAGCAGCCACTTTCACAGCGTCGCCTGCCTTGCTGACACCGTTGTATGCGAGTACACGTGTAACTTACCTCACCACTTGCACGGTCATGATCCATACACGGCTGTCCGTCCACAGGCGAGAAGATGGAGTAACTACAAAGCACAACCGGTCAGAGTGGCAACACACACACACACACACACAGCAAATGTTATTCTACTAAATAAGGTACTGCCCGTTTATCTTATCCATTGTGTATTGAGTGGAAATACGTCTGTGAATCACTCACTAGGAATGCACAAGATGACTCACGTTGCATAGTCTGAATGAGCTACATTACTAACATAAACACAGCAGCAGCAGCACTATTCGACTGCATGCAAACTACGGCATGGTGCATGAACATGATCATCAAGATACAGAGCAGGAATGAGTGGACAATGACAAGGTCTCACTTGATCTAGTGCCCAATTCTGGAAAGTAACAGCAGATTGCCTATAAGAGTACATGTGGTTGAGGGAACTGAACGACCAAGTGCACTCACCGAATACCAAAGTCCAACCTGCCACGCTCCTTCAGACGCATAAACTGCCAGCGCACAAAGGAATCATAGTACTTGTTGATGTCAGTGGTGATGAAGGAACGACGCCAGTCAACCTTCACGCCCATACACTTCAGGTCTTCCTGTGCCTTGGGCGGGAAATACTTCAGCCAGTGCTGAGGATCAGCAAACCTAAACCACACCAAACCATAACAATAACAACAACGACGACGACAACAACAACAACAACAGCAGCAGCAACAATAACACAAAATGCAAAAGTGAGAAAGAGAAAGAGAGAGAGAGAGAGATGGATAGATAGATAGATGGATAGATAGATAGATAGATGGATAGATAGATAGATAGATAGATAGATAGATAGAGAGAGAGAGAGAGAGAGAGAGAGAGAGAGAGAGAGAGAGAGAGAGAGAGAGAGAGAGAGAGAGAGAGAGAGAGAGAGAGAGAGAGAGAGAGAGAGAGAGACTGACTGTGCATCATGGCAGCTCAATCTCAGGCCCGCCAGAGCCGTTCCGGTTTGTCAGGCAATGACCTGATCACCTTTTCGGCCACTCATGTGTGCTTATTGCTGAGGTAATGTGTGCCCTCTATACCATACACAAAGCACACACGGTTATGGCACGGCCGGACAAACAAAAACTGCTTCCGCCAGTCCCGAATCTTCCTTTTTCACTAACACATGTACTAGTAATAGAACACTTATACAAAAGAGAAAGGACCAAGGAACTACAAGCTATGCTATACTGTCCACGAACACCACCAGTTACTAAACAATCAGCTCATGCGATAACAGTGCACGACACTGACCGACGGTACTGACATTCTACAACTAACTGGCTCCATCCGAGTCCAATAGAACACCTACTCTTTGATCTCCTCATCCTGCAGTCCAAGGGAACGCATGATCTGCCACTGCCATTTAATACCGCCGGTCTTTGCTGCCACCTTGCTCTTGGGCTACACCATGCACAACAAAAGCATATACACAGGTACACATAGTCATACCAGTTACAAAGGATATACACAACCGCACACACACAACCGCACACACACACACACACACACACACACACACACACACACACACACACACACACACACACACACACACACACACACACACACACACACACACACACACACACACACACACACACACACACACACACACACACACACACACACACACACACACACACACACACACACACACACACACACACACACACACACACACACACACACACACACACACACACACACACACACACACACACACACACACACACACACACACACACACACACACACACACACACACACACACACACACACACACACACACACACACACACACACACACACACACACACACACACACACACACACACACACACACACACACACACACACACACACACACACACACACACACACACACACACACACACACACACACACACACACACACACACACACACACACACACACACACACACACACACACACACACACACACACACACACACACACACACACACACACACACACACACACACACACACACACACACACACACACACACACACACACACACACACACACACACACACACACACACACACACACACACACACACACACACACACACACACACACACACACACACACACACACACACACACACACACACACACACACACACACACACACACACACACACACACACACACACACACACACACACACACACACACACACACACACACACACACACACACACACACACACACACACACACACACACACACACACACACACACACACACACACACACACACACACACACACACACACACACACACACACACACACACACACACACACACACACACACACACACACACACACACACACACACACACACACACACACACACACACACACACACACACACACACACACACACACACACACACACACACACACACACACACACACACACACACACACACACACACACACACACACACACACACACACACACACACACACACACACACACACACACACACACACACACACACACACACACACACACACACACACACACACACACACACACACACACACACACACACACACACACACACACACACACACACACACACACACACACACACACACACACACACACACACACACACACACACACACACACACACACACACACACACACACACACACACACACACACACACACACACACACACACACACACACACACACACACACACACACACACACACACACACACACACACACACACACACACACACACACACACACACACACACACACACACACACACACACACACACACACACACACACACACACACACACACACACACACACACACACACACACACACACACACACACACACACACACACACACACACACACACACACACACACACACACACACACACACACACACACACACACACACACACACACACACACACACACACACACACACACACACACACACACTTGGACACGCCAACAAGCAAGAACATACACAACATTGAAGCAATCCTGAAATAAGTCTACGCAAGCATAACAGCAGAGAAGGCCGGTCCCTCACTTGACGGAAATAACACAAGGCAAATCCTGCAGTGCATGTGCGCCAAGAGAGTGGAAAGAAGGGGGACAGACAAACATGCAAGACAGACAGATAGACAGTCAGACAGAGAGGGAGTGAGAGATGGGTTTCTACACTACAGCAGTACACGCCGTAAAGAAGTCTAAATTTAATGTGACACAAAAGTACAACCAAATACATAACTTTAACTCGGACACTGAGCCAATAATGAAATGTAAAATAGAAGAGAACACACATGGGAACGAGTTATGAAGCAACTGTCCACGACTGTAACAAGTCCCCATTCCCATGTGTTCTATTCTATTTTAGATACATACCTTCTTTGTGAACTTGGTCGGGTCAGCCATCTTTTTCTCAGCAGTAGCTTCCTTCGCTGCTGGTTCCACAACTTCAGCATCAACTGGGAAGTTTGGTGGGTAGCCAAACTGCTGCATCTCATACTTGAGCTTGTCAGCACACGCCTGGAGAGCACATGCAATTAACGCAAGTGGATCAACTCGAACAGTTTCCTCCCAGACAAGAATGTGATAATACTAAGAAGAAGGATACACTTCAGGCTCTTGAACAACATCTTGAAAGTGTTCACTAGGATCAACTCTACACAGCACACTGTCCTCCAAAGCACACTGCCCAATACACCAGGTGCAAAGTAGCAGAGCCTGCGCAGTTGAGCTGACAAGTCAACGACTGCAGCACTGCCCTGTTCAAACGCGCTGTTCCGAATGCCAGCCGGATTTACAACTTGGACCCTGGCTGACTGGATACAACACACATGCCACGCCAACATGGCGGGTGAGTCCAAAGTCAAACACTCTGCGTGTAGTGGTGGGGAGTGCAAAGAAGTTTTCAAACAAACATGTTATGTGTAGAGGTGGGGAGTGTGAAGTGGCATTTCATACAAGCATCTAGTCAACTATCAAGACACGCGCTACTAACCGGAATTGGCATGCCCGTGCAATGGAAACCAAAAGGGAAGAGGCACCTCTTGCCTTTGAGACGCTGGTAGCCGACAGCAAACTGTATGCCACAGGAACACACCAAAGGGAAGAAAAGACCATAGAGGTATGAGGGCCTGAATTGCTAGCTCATTAGAAATAGACTCAATCTGACCAATCTGCACGCAGATACAGGCATCCATGACAAGGATGCTCACCCACCCACCACACCGTGCAAGGAGACTCCCAATAGTCACTGACTAGTCCCGATGAGCACTTTAAAAATAGCCATTCAAATCCAAACATCCACAGAACATGCCTCAATGGCATTGCGCTGCACCACGTGGTAGATCTGTATTCACAACATATGTAGGAGTGCATGAGTGGGTGGGGGCTAAACGCAAAACAAATGAATACGAAAAAAAAGAAACACAAAGGCACACAAAGCAAATTCCGTTGTGACTCAGAGTTTCATGGCTGAACCAATCATCAGACAGTCACAGCGGAATTTGCCAAGGTTTTCATTGTGTGCCTTTGTGTACGCCGCTCTGCCTAAATCAGGTATTGAGCACTTTCGCAGAACCTAAGCCTACTACCTTTGTGTATAAAAAAAAAGAAACCAAGATGAGCACACAGTACGGACACATAGATACCTTACCTCAGCCTGCGATGGTAAGTGTGTCATGGTGGCAGTGAATACGCCAGTATCACACCAGAAAACACACACGCATGCACACGCACACACACACACAAGCGCATGCACGCACACACCACATAAACACACACACACACACACATGAGCCAGTATATTAATGTAGTCCTCAACACACATTTGAAGCAAATGACACTGAAAAGTGCCGTTGTACGGGACAGCCCCTAAGGTAACGTGAACACTTTGAGGAGCAACACAAAGGTACACACACACCACATAAACACACACACACACACACACACACACACACACACACACACACACACACACACACACACACACATGAGCCAGTATATTGATGTAGTCCTCAACACACATTTGAAGCAAATGACACTGAAAAGTGCCGTTGTACGGGACAGCCCCTTAGGTAACGTGAACACTTTGAGGAGCAACACAAAGGTACACACACACCACATAAACACACACACACACACACACACACACATGAGCCAGTATATTGATGTAGTCCTCAACACACATTTGAAGCAAATGACACTGAAAAGTGCTGTTGTACGGGACAGCCCCTTAGGTAACGTCAAGAGTACATAACCCCCCAGAGTGTGCAACTCCCACATACCCTGCTGTCCCGACAGAATTTCAAGTTGACGTCATTAGTTATGACGCAATGCTCCTTGCACCAGTGATTTACAACATGTGTACGGGTGTCAACGCATCACACGTTTTTCTTTCCAATAATTTGTACAGGATCGATCGGCTTCGGTCAACCACAGGTTCCGGATTCGTCTGATAATCCGTGTACAGTGCATTGCATCATCAAAATGACGTCAACTTGAAATTCTGTCGGGACAGCACCCATAGTGGAGTTGCACACTCTGGGGGGTTATGTACTCTTGGTAACGTGAACACTTTGAGGAGCAACACAAAGGTACACTGGTAGGTAAAGGAATTCCACATGCCGGCCGGGGGAACAATCTTATTGAAAGTCTTGCTCGTGTGATAGGCTCGTCTGGAGGCAAGGCGAAGATAATATCCAGGTACATTCTTTCATACTGATCATGAATCACATGATCGTTCAAAATTAATTGTGAGCCAATCATGAATGATATTCATGTCAGTGGAAAGTGGGTTTTTTCCTTCAAAATGTACTCTTACCTTAGAGATGCAAAACGTGTGGCCCAAGTGAAGACGTCCGTTCATGTACGGAAAAGGGAACGTGGCAAAGTACTTGTCCTGGCTGAATGCGCAAAACATGCACGCATACGCGCACACACACGCACACATACACACACACACACACACACACACACACACACACAAGCAAAGACACATGCACAGACAGACAGACACACACACAAGCACGCGTGCACACACACACACACACACACACAACATTCACCCACATTAAACAACTAATTAATTATCCTTCCTTGATTCTGATCGTGCTGCCAGCAGGAAGTGTTCATGGCACACTAAAGACTGGGCTACATGCACTGAACAATGAGCTAGATTGCACAGGTATATCATACGGCCATCAAGCGGCACGATGGCAAGCATGGCACACAGTTAAGACTGCACAAGTATATCGTATGCCCATCAAGCGACACGATGGCGAGCATGGCACACAGTTAAGACTGCACAAGTATCATACGGCCATCAAGCGACACGATGGCAAGCATGGCAGCTGGACTGCACAAGTATATCATACGGTGGCCATCACGCGACATGATGGCAAGCAACGCACACACAGTTCAGACTGTGCAAAAAAACACTTTGGTACTGGTTCCAACTCAAGCAAAGCAAGTCTTTAAAACTGTGAACAGCACCTGTGTGAACACAGTCTACTTGCGCTAAAAGCCATGCACATTTGCAAAAGGGACAGCGTGTATGCATACGTGTACAGTATCTAGTAGGTCACACTCGTGCCGAAAAGTCACCCGCTTACAGATAAGTCATGCACTCACCGGTGAGTCACGCAATTTTGTCCCAAGGGCCAAGCCAGATTACCTAAGTGTGCGACTGTATAGAGAGCGCAGACTGCACTACGGCTCAGCCATCACAGCAGTGGATGCCACTGGGCGCATGTGCTTTTCTTCTAAATTGACAACAGCTGCGAGAATTCTAAATTTCTCAGGCATGTGTGGGCTTTATCACAAAGATGATAATGCTAGTATTCAGCATTTTGAGAAGGTTCGAACATCACCCAGGCGATCAGCGCAAATGGCTAACCTTAATTTGCCTTACCTGGCATCTGGGGAATCCGCCTGAATTGCAATTAATGACATATGTGAATGCACACAAACATGCGCGCACACACACAAACACACACGGACACACACACACACATGGACACAACAAACACACACACACACACACCCTCATGCACACCCACGGATAGATACACACACACACACACGTGTGCGCTTGCACACATACATACACGTGCGCATTCGTGCACGCACACATATAATAAATACAAACAAACAAACAACACACACACACACACACACACACACACACACACAACACACACAAACACACACACACACACACAACAGCATATGAATGGACAGGTTGAACTAGCGCACACATACACACCCACCAGTGTAGAATATGCCAATATGTGTGTGTGTTTGAGAATGAATGGACTAGTGTACCAGTCACATGACCCAGACAGTATTTCAAGTTATGTGTGCAACTGGCACCACATAAAGAACACACCAGACATGATCCCATGTCAAAATCAACACCAGATAATGTAGTCTACTCGCAAGTAAGGCAGTAGATGATACTACTTGGCCTCATTTGTCAAAGGCGTAGAATAAATCAGATACTACTCACAGCAGGGGCATCCTCCTGGAACACTTGGTCCTCACGCCACCTCTCTTGAACTTCCAGCTCAATGTCACGAAGAGCTTGCCGTTTGGCGAAGCTCTCCGGCTTCTTCTTCTCGGTCTGAGAAGACACGAAGCATGAACAGAAGTTATCCCCATCACGACTTGCAAGTCACTAAAATCGAGAGAAGAGAAAACTACGTACCGCCATCGTTACAGACCAGCGTGGT